TTTCCCCAAATCTTCAGTTAAAATTCAGCAAATAGTGTTTTTACTCGTACTCAATTCCTCAGCCAACATTCTCGTAGTAAAATTTGCATCGCTACCAATGATTTCACGGACTTTTTCCACCAGTTCAGCACGATTACCAGTTTCTGGACGTCCTGCTTTAGGGTCGTCATTTAAATCCTCACGACCATTCTTAAATCGTGTAAACCACGTATAAACTTGCGTACGACTCATACAATCATCACAATAAACTTTTTTCATTAATTTTTTTTCAAGTTTGACACAAAATTTTACATTTACTCTTTGTTCCATTTTATTTTTGAACCATTAGCACAATTTTGGTTTTATTGAAATGGCTGTCACTTTTACGTCTGTCATCCGACTTACGTGATGTTAGGTGCGTTTGAAAGATGATGAATGTAAATATCCTTTTAATGTTGCAAATTTTCAATAGATGGCGCTGTATGTTGTATGATTTAAATATAAAGTTCGGTTAGTTTTGGGACACACCGTGTACATACATTTGAAGGTGTACATTCAAGTAGTTAGTGTGATAAAAATTATGTACACATGTCTGTTTGATTGAAAATATAATGAACGCATAATTGGTTAGATAAGGAATACATTCTATGTACTCGAATACATATGTATGATTTGTATTATAAGGATGTAAAATGTAAGCTCTATTGAGTAATAAAAAAGATATTTTAATAAAAAAAAAATTATTGAAAAAAGCACAGAAATGAAACTGTATCTTTATCTACGAGCCATAGATTTTATGTTCGCGGCATGGGGTGTGTCTACGCCAGTAAAAAAAAAAACAAAAAAAAAAAGGCTGGAATAAAAATATTTTTCCTTTTCATTGTATTCAATTAATTTATTTATATTTACATATCACAACAATATAATACAATTGACGCTTTACAATCGCTGAAGCTGAAGAATCGGCCGAGTTTCTCCTCCAATTTGTAGTAAACGTCTTGATGTTTGCCAACAAATGAAGGGGCCTGCAGTTTATACTAAGCCCCCTCCAAATGGACGCTAGATTATGCGGATCTTTTTCATTTCATAACAGAAATACACTCGCAGGGATTGACATTCCCTGCCGAGGGTCGACCGTAATTTAAAAAATTATTTTTCCAAATTATTTTTCGAAACCTGAGCTGCAGAATGTCAGTACGCAATGCTAGCCAGTCAGCTGTTGCGGTCGCTCCGATTTTCTTATCAGATTTCAGGTTTCTCTTTATCATCAAAATACACCGAAACTGCCTCCTTCACTTCATCATCATTGGTGGGTGATTCGAAATATTCAGGTCCAACTTATGCAGTGCAGCCAACAAGGAACTCGGGAACGGACGCGCTGTCATGAAAGCAGCATACTTTTCATCAATTTGCAACGTCTTTATTGCTAATTATAGCTTGTTTTAGTACCTCTGCGTCATTGTTGTTGTTGCTGTTGTTGAAGGGGCTCTCAGGCCCCGCGTTGGGAGCAGGTAAAGTTACTCTAAGCCATCAAGATCAACGAGCTATTTCGACGGTTTCCAACCAGAGGGAAAAGGGCGGTTAGATAAGTCGATTTTTAGTGGCATACAAGGAGGTTAGGTTAGTGTCGTGCGGGAACTTCTTGCATGCAGGACATACGTTGGGTATGAAGGGGGGCAAGTCTGGATAGATAGGAATTTAGTCGACTTCAATATCCAGATCTTAATTGTGTCAGTAATACGCGGGACTCTCGTCTGTAAAGGGTAAAGGTTTAAGTTCAGTGAGATGATAATTGACTTTCGGTGTATATTGGGGACAGCCGTCCTGCCCAGCGGTTCGTGTAAGTGATGCTCAATGCAGTCCTTAAAGTCGAGTATTTCCTTCTTGATACGACTGGGTGTGATTCGGTATGTAGTAAGTGTCTATTGGGTTGCTTCCTACGGGTGCATTTAAGAAAATATCGAGATGTTTCCTGCGCCGGTCCTGAGACCGCTATTTTGGTTGGCTTGTAGCTTTTTCATATGCATCTCGCTAGCTGCCGGCGTCTAGATCGGAGTAGCGACGCTTACGACCGGTCGGCCATATTGAAGCGTAGTATTATCCAGTTACAAAAACACCTTTATCTTTTTAATCGTTCAATAATATCCGTTCTGAGTGCCAAAATACTGACTGTGGCACCTTATACTTCTCGGGGGGTGCTGTTCACTGCTGCTACTGGAATCTTGTTTTGACTCAGGCTCATTATGATGAACCCGACAGAGTTCTAAGAATGCATGCCAAATACACTGCTGTTTTTGTGGAGCCGTTTACCATACTCGGCACCAATCTTGCTCTGACCTTAGTCTTGCTAAGTTCTATAAAAGCTTCTATGAGAAACTCCAATCAATTCTGCGAGCTGTTTCTTTCTTAGTCGAACAGAGTCGTAGAGACCATTTTTTTTTTCAAATTTTTGGATAAGTTCTGGCGTGATCACCTATTGAAGATGCTTTTATCCGGCCTCGGGTCGTTTTCAAGACGTTCTCTATTTACATAAAATATGCCACTTTTACACCATGGTTTTAATTTTCATAAGATCTAAGTTTAATCCTCGCTGCACGGTACTTAAAAAAATGTCTACCAACCCATTTCCTGTATTTATGTACTCAATTTCCTTCATTAAAAATTAAACATTGTCCTACTATTTATCACCGCTGGTGTTCCTTTGTTTAATGCGGCCAATGACATTCTGTCAAACAAAAAAAACTATTCAATCGAAAATACGTCATACTTCCCGCGATAACGACACCTTCTTACACACACAGACAAACGTGACATACAAATCGATCATTTCGCCATCCGCTGGGATTTACAATTTAATTATTTAATAGTTAAACAATGTGTCGTGCGCTTTCATCAACTTTGCCTGGTGTTTGGTGTTTCGGTCGGTGTTCTCGTTTGCTTCACACTTTTCATGTACCTTATGTACTTTTTGTTTTGCTCAACCTGTCCCATTCCGTTTAGGTCAGCTAAGCTTTTTGTCGCGAATCAGGTGAAATGATGCAATGTTGGTAAACAACGTTAATTGCACTCCTTCCTTATTGCCCGCCATTTATCGCTTCATGGGTGCGTTGTACTTTGCACAAGAGTTCGTCACAGGAACTGGGCAACATTAACGGCTTGAGTAAAAGCATATTGGATTACGGTGAATGCACACATATCAAGTATAATTTTTTTATGAGCAAAAAGCTTTAAAATGTTCCTTTTAAAGTTTTGAGGATTTTTTTAAGAGGATATTCGCTGGAATCGGACTCTAAGCTAATTATTCTTTTTAGTTGCCTTTTAGCAAAAATGACCACTCCCGGCATTCCACTCGAACGAGGGTCACAACGTAAACCAAAGTTATAAGCCCACCATCTAGGAAACTTAAATAACAAAATACTGTGAACCTATAATGAACTGGATCGATCAATTCTTCGCCACAAGGTGATCTTAGAGCCAAGATAGCTGTGGTTATATTATTTTTCCAGCAATATCTGTATCTCTTCTTACCATTTGCCACTAATTGGAAGCACCAAATTAAGCCCGGCCACTCCTCACTTGATATTACAATAGAGTTCTCTTCATCCTTTGTTCCACCAGGGGATGCTGCAACAAAAGGTTTCAATTCCGAAATGCTTCTGCTCCTTCGATCACTTATCGTTTCCTCGTCTACGATACTCGCCGTAGTCAATATGTTTCTCCTTCCTCCTACTCTTTTTTATTAGTATAAGTGGTGCTAAACGACTATAGCCGAACTAACAATATCACATCAGTCGTTCATTCTTTTCATCGTTTGGCGCGCCAACTGGAGACATCAAGTGAAGCCAAGTCCTTCTACACATGAACTTTTCACTTAAGTGAAGGTCTTTACCTTAATCTACTTCCATTTCCTGACGCTGTGTTGAATACTTTCAGAGCTGGAGTGCCCTCATCAGTACCTGATCTAGCCAGCGTAGCAATTGTTTCTTGTTTCAGTGAACTATGTCAAGGCTCATCCTACTATCGTTTGCCGTTACCAATACTTAAAGTACCGTAAATCTTCTACAAAACCTTTCTCTTGAATACTCCTAGTACCGACTTATCAGCTGTGGTCATCGTCATGGCTTCTGCAGCATATAGCGGGACGGCAAATGATGGAAGACCTGTAGAGGTTGGTTTTGGTTCGTCTAGAGAGGATTTACTTTTTCTATTGCCCAGTCAATCCAAAGTACACCTGATGGCAAGAATGATTATGCTTTGCTTAAAGTTATGAGCCTCAACTTTGACCCACGCGACTGGCTTTCTTATCCAATCTAGAAAAATCAAAACTAAAGGCGACGATTTGTAAGACCAATGACATAGATGTCGTAGCCTTGGCCAGCAGTTATATGCTGTATGCAGCTCGTATTATTCTGCCTATCATTAAATTGAAGAAGTCACCGAGTCACCTTGACTGAGCCTTGTTAGGTTCCGAATAGATTCCGATTCTGAGAGTCAGCTTACTCAGCCGTGTAATTTTTGGAATTGATCTCTAATTTAGACATATATACATGTGTTGGGTTAGCAGCATAGAGACAGCTTCGACGAGGTGTAACCACTATTTGGCGTCTCATCTATGGTAATCCATAGTAAAGTAGGACTAGGTCCACGCTAGGAAAACTACATCAATTTGTTGACGGTCGGCTTTAGACTTTCACACAATCGTCAGTTGTGACTTATGAACGATAGTGACAAGACTTGTCCCACAATTATTGGCTCATTCTGTGGTCGACACCTCCAGATGAAATTCAGATTCACCCGACTACATTTTGCATAGAATCTAACCCCATACAATTTGGCAGTTCTTCTATCCTTTCGAGTTCATTATAATCCTAAATTACTATGCAAATTGTCTTAAATAATCTTCCTCTGATCCCTCTCAGCCCAAAATAATCATGAAATTTTTTGAAATTGTATCACAAATAGTTTATTTTTTATTTTACCATTTTTTATTATTAATTATTACAAAGTAATATCAGTACCATTTTTGTGTATGTATGTTTGTAAACTATCTAATTATTTATTCTCTGAGTTGAATTGTATCCAAAATGCATTTAAAATCTTCACTGAGCTCTGATCAAATTAAACACCGGCCACCATCTGGCCGTGCAGTTCCATAAGACCCTGTGGAGAAAAATTTAAATTAGAATTAATTATCGGAATAATAATATGAATAATTTCATAACGCAAAATGAGATGTTTTCCTAAATGCCAGAAACTTTATTTACTATGAAAATCTGGTAACAGAATATCTTATAAAAAGTCATTCCTTTCATACTCCTTCATATACTATTGGGTTGCCCAAAAAGTAATTGCGGATTTTTCATATAGTCGGCGTTGACAAATTTTTTCAACGGCTTGTGACTCTGTAATTGCAATCTTTCTTCTGTCAATTATCAGCTGTTACTTTTAGCTTGCTTTAAAAAAAAAGTGCGCAAAATTTTGTTTACATTAGTTTGTTTGGCGTCAATTTTAATATGGAGCCCACAAAGGAACATTTTCGTCATATTTTACTTTATTATTTCCGTAAAGGAAAAAACGTGGAGCAGATTGCTAAAAAGTTACGAGATGTGTATGGCGATGAAGCCTTAAAAGGAAGACAGTGTCAAAATTGGTTTCGCTAATTCCGTTCTGGAGATTTTTCACTTAAAGATGAGCCACGTTCAGGTCGGCCAAATCAAAGTATTAATCGAATTGGATCGTCATGTAACTGAGCGTGAGATTGGAGAGAAGTTAAATATACCAAAATCAACCGTTCATTATCACATAAAAAGTCTTGGAGTGGTGAAAAAGCTTGATATTTGGGTTCCACATGTATTGAAAGAAATTCATTTAACACACCGAATCAACGCAATGAATTCGATCCGTTAAAACGAATCATAACTGGAGATGAAAAATGGATTGTTCACAACCACGTTAGTCGAAAACGATCATGGTCCAAGCATGGTGAACCAGCTCAAACCACTTCAAAGGCTGATATCCACCAAAAGAAGGTTATGCTGTCTGTTTGGTGGGATTGGAAGGGTGTCGTATACTTTGAGCTGCTTCCAAGAGACCAAACGATTAATTCGGATGTTTATTGTCAACAATTGGACAAATTGAATACTGCCATCAAGGAGAAGCGACCAGAATTGGTCAATCGTAAAGGTGTCATATTCCACCAGGACAACGCTAGACCGCACACATCTTTGGTCACTCGCCAAAAACTGAGTGAGCTTGGCTGGGAACTTTTGATGCATCCACCATATAGCCCTGACCTTGCACCATCAGACTACCATTTATTTCGATCTTTGCAGAACTCCTTAAATGGTAAAACTTTCGGCAATGATGAGGCTATAAAATAGCACTTGGTTCAGTTTTTTGCAGATAAAGGCCAGAAGTTCTATGTTATCGAACAAAATGGCAATTATATATTTGATTAAAGTTCATTCTAAGTTTTATTAAAAATGCATTTCTTTCATTTAAAAAAACCTGCAATTACTTTTTGGGCAACAATACATATGTACTACACGTATATGTAAGGGATTTTAGACACATTTGACTCGATATCAAGGGAAAGGAGAAGAATAAGAATGTCTGTGGTTGCCTGTGTTTTTTTTCTGTGCGCTGGATCCATAAGAATCTACAGTTTTTGGATTGGTCGAAAGAAAGATCGATGTTCCAATTTTTATTCGCTCAAAATGAGTGTCTTTTCGCTTGTCCCTATACGTTGACGGGTATTATAAACCTACTTTGAACAGGAAAATCCTTCTAAGTTGTCAAGCACCAGAGTTGGCATTTGCAAAAGAGCATAGAATTTCTGCGGATAAGATGAGGAAATTCCACAAAGTGTGAAAATTTGTGTTTTCTCGGCAAACTGTGTAGGATGACTAAAGATATCCATATGGTGCCAGAAGGGAGTTCTGGTACGAGGCTAAACCTCCTTTTCATCCCTTAACACGAAATTAAAACTTCTCCATAGTAAGAAGAGTAGAGATGCTTTAATTTCGCTCCCACACGACCCACTCTAAACTCATTTTGTTATATTCATATTATTTTGCTACGCTTAAAGATATGGAAGGTTACTTGGCCTATCACCAATCGACAACGCAGTGGAGAGGTACTGCAGCGAAATCAGCCATGAGATTGATGGCCTTAGCTGATTTACTCAGAGGAAGTGGGAGACAAAATAGACCACAAGCCCCCCGCTATTTCTGGGGAAGAAGACTTCGGGCTACGTTCACTGAGGGCTAATAGCGCAGGAGCAGGCAATCGGCCGATTTTACGTATAACGTCTACAATGATGGATTAAGAAAAGGCTGAAGAGAAAGGTCGCCGGAGCCTATTGCGCTGAGATAAATCTAAGATGACCATTCCAGGCGAATATTGCAGTATCTGCCACGTCTTTGATTTAGGGAAAGATGCTGAGCTAGTAAAAAGTTCGTTCGGTTTATTTATTGATTTTTCAAAATATGATAACTTTGTGCACATTTGTCCGATTTAAGTCAAATATGCACCGTCTTGTTTGTAAGCCTGTTGCCAACGAGATGCCAACGAGATGCCAACTTCATTATACCTCTCTCATAGAAGGCTGCGTCCCTATTCGCAAAAAACTCGGAGAACCAATTTTCACAGGCCTCTCTTGAGGCCGATTTCTCACCATTAAGCGCGTTCGCCATGGACAGGAAAAGATGGTAATCACTTGGTGCCGGGTCTGGACTATTAGATGGGTGCATTTGGACCTCCCATCCGAAGTTCTGGAGATTCTGGCGGGTCACCAAAGACATGTGTAGAGGACCGAGCAGCTCATCGGAGATGATTTCTTGCCAATCCCACCAAACAAACAGCAAAACCTGGTGCGTCTTTGACATCGAAATTACCGGAACGGAACATAGCAAACCACTTTTTGGCTAAACGGTCGTTTACAGTATCGGACCCATAAACTAAATTATTTTTGGACCTGCTTTGGCTGCTTTTTCGCCTTGATCGAAGAAAAATTGTAAAATATAACGAATCTTCTCTTTGCTGGTGTCCATCTTTGACAAGACCGCAATTAAGACAAGAAACTCACATCGTATTGCATCAGCAAATGTCCTTAGAAGCGGCAGATAGGGCGACCGAGGGTAAACTGCTGCATATGTATGTATATACTGGGTTCTAGGCCACAAGGCCGAAAAATTGCAAAAAATTGCGAAAAGTGCCCACCGTCTTGCTAGCGAACCAGCTAATAGACGATTTGCGAGAGTGCTGAATGATAAATCAACTTGAAATGGAAAGCAATAACGGCATGGAAAAAAGAAACACCCATTTCTTTCTTAACCACACAACCCACTGGCATCCCTTGCAAGCAAAATAAGTTTTGGTAGCTGTACATAAGACATCTGCGTCAGAGATGTAGTAAGTGCTGGAAGAAAGAAATAAGTGAGACTTTGAGACACTTATACTGTTTCTGTCCGGTCTTAGCCAGAACTCGTTTTAGATATCTCGGAGCTTCGCAGTTCAAAGGACTATAGATCGCTTCGAAATTGAATATCTCTCCAATCTTTTGAACTTCGCAAAAAGCGTTGACGTCCTGTACGACAACTACTTTAGATCGCAACAAAACGAAACTCCATCCAACACTACAAAGAACCAATAGCATACCTGTTGATTTTGATTGGAATGGGTCAGAGTCCGGTGTAAGAGTTGCATGGAGGTTGAGGAGCCCTACATTACCTTGCCTTACATTTAGTCAAAGACTGCATACAGTGTGACCTCATCACTTATTCGCGTTCGGCATTAAGCATTTTGGTGGAACCTTGTACCGGATCAACTGCGTAAAATCTTACCTAACCTAACTCTTTATCCAATTTCTAGTAATCAAATATTCGTAAAAGTATTGTTGTGTATGGAATCCTGTTCTGGAAATCCAACAGTTCGACAAGTCAATTTTTAAAACAAAGAATTTGTGATATGTCTTACCATATAAAATATCTAAACATTTTTCAATATCCAAACATACATTTCGAGCATGGCTAATGAATTTAAGGTGGATCAATTCACTCTAATTTGAAATCAGCTTCCTCTCCGATCATTTTCTCATGTACATCTCGGAGTATGCCCTGGAATTTGGGAACCATACATACATATATATTTATATATGTGCAAAAGAAATGACATAGACAGCTTTGACCAACTATTTGTTAGTAACAAATCTATTCCTATTTAAATACCGTCAAATAAACCAGAAACCTTGGGAAACCCTTCTACATAACAAAGCAACTTACAAGCCTACATAATAATATTATTAACAAATTATGTACGTAGTAATGAAAATTATAAAAAAATTTATATTACCAGACACCAAAATTTACAAAAGAAAAATAGAAATGTACGCCAACACCCAAAGAGCCCACACCGGTTAGCTCAAGCGTTCGCTACATAAGACATCAGCGTCAGAGATTCACTCTATAACCCAAAACAAACCATACCTACATGCATACATACATACAAATATTATTACGGTGGTTAATTTCTGTAGTCGAACTCAGTTTACCTTAAAATATTTCACCGTCTTGACGCGCAACTCCAATGTTGCATCCTCATCGCACAGCATCAACGTATTGGGATGCTGTTGGAAGGCACTGACGGTCCACATATGATTAACACCCTCCTCGATTGCCTTGTACAAAGCGAAGGCCTTGTGCGCACCTGTAATTAGGATCATCACCTCTTTGGCGTCCATTACAGTACCCACACCCACCGTCAGAGCTTGTTTGGGCACTTTACTCATATCGTTATCGAAGAAACGTGCATTCGCCTCGAGTGTGTCTTGTGCCAGCGTTTTCACACGTGTACGTGACACCAACGAGCTGCCGGGCTCATTGAAGGCTATATGCCCGTCTGGGCCAATACCACCGATGAAGAGTTCCACTCCACCCGCCTCTTTGATCATCGCCTCGAATTGTTGGCATTCGGCGAGTAAATCCTTGGCATTGCCATCCAAAATGTGCGCATTTTTCGGGTCGATATTGATGTGTTTGAAGAAATTGTTCCACATGAAGTAGTGATAGCTTTCGGGGTGATCGCGTGGTATGCCTGAGGGAAGAGGTTTGTGTGTGTGGAGTTTGTAATTTGAATGGCAATCAGAGATTTATCGCATTTTTATCATCATACTTACCTACATATTCGTCCATATTGAATGTCTTCACAAACTCGAATGACACTTTTCCGGCTTTGTGATATTCAATGAGTTTCTTATACATGCCGAGAGGTGTGCTGCCAGTGGGTAGACCCAATACGAAGTATCTGCAATTTAGAGCGGAGAAAAATGAATCTGATTTTAAGGTTTGGTAGTTTTCTGACAATGAATGAGTAGCTTAAAGTAGCCTCGGTGGACTGCACCGTCGGCTAAAATTTCGCTCTCTCAGCGATAACAGAGCAATGCACTGAGAAAAAAAATAATAACCGAATACATCGTCATACCTCTTTTCTAGAGTTTTGACCTTTCTGATACAGCAGCGGCCGCAATAGCTGAGTGTCTAGCTTTGCGTGCCAACATTCGGATGGCTAAGTTTTATGTCCTGGTCCGATTAACATCCAAAAAATTATAGAAAATTACTTTTTCTAATTGTGGTCGCTCCCCGGAAGGGAACGTTAAGTTACCCGAGTGTATTTCCGAAATCAAATAAGAGAAACTCCTCATAAAATTCCATCGACTGTTCGTAAAAATCAAAACGTAAGGAGCCCGGCTGAAAATCACATCATCGGTTACAAAGCGTATATACATGTATATAGAAAGGGTCAGCCGTAAACTGCTCTGACTATTTTTTCAACCCTTTCCATTCGACGTCCTCAGTTTACGGAGTTACGCACAGAAAAACAAAGTTGACGTTCTCTGATAATATTTTTTATGCCGCACATGAGACGATTACCTCCGTCAGATTAGATCTAATTGTCGAATTAAACCCATTTGCGACCTTTAGATATTACTATTTTAAGTTATACTCACTTATTTGGACCGGGTTTGAAATCATTTATGCGCTTCATAACATATTTGGCCGCCCAGACGCCTACGGAGTCAGCTGTATCCAGGATTACTAACTTCATTTTAAATAACTGAAATGAAAAGAGAGAAATTTCCACGTAAATATCACGTAGTTGCTGATAGTAAAATATTTAAAATGAGAAATCTTCAGAGTCTCCACCCAAAAAATAATAAAAAATATAACTGATGTAAAGCCACTTAGACTCATTTATAAGGCAAAAATGCCACCGATTGTGAAAATTTGGAGCTTCAAATAGAAAGCAGCTTTCCTGACCTCCTGACAGTCCACCAAGTACCAGAAGAATTTCTCAACTGCATACAGTACTTGCTGTGATATAAAGCTCACCTAACCATAAATAGGCAGCACATAGGCAGAGAAGCTTCCACTTGAACTTACTCCGGTAATAATGAAACGGTGTTACTCACAAATTCGAGCTCATAAGCGTAGCAGTGCCCCGCAAATCCACTGTGATTATTTAACTTTAATCTTTTTATATGCAAGTCGATGTTACAGCCAGTGATATCAAGCATTCCCTCTGAATTTCGAAGCTCAACATGTGAGCTCAGGGTACTCTGCCCACAACGAGTTGTTGATTTTGAATATTTCCAAATCCTGAGAGATTCTGCGGAAGCTAGGAATATACGCAACACTTGTTAAGTGTCATTCAGCATTAGAATAAAGAAGCTGACGATTAGCGCCGATTGGTCAAAAGACTGTACTCGAAAGTAAGGTCTCGAGCTGTTTCTCTAGATTAGTTCCTTCTGCAACCAAACGAGGGTCTTTTTCACTAAGGTCTTGTGGGGCTCATCAAGAAGTAGCCGCCATTATTTAACATACAATAGTATCCATCAACGACCCAGCTACAATAGCCGAGTGGATTAGCAGTGCGCACTACCAGGTGAAAGGTCATGGGTTCAAGGCCAGGTCCGACCAAAAATAAAATTATAGAAAATTAATATACAAAAAAATAAACGTTATGCCAAAACTACGTAGTTTTCTTCTGATGAAAAAATATTTTTATTATGTGTTAATGTTTGGAAGAATATATTGTACTTGCCACAGGAAAGGCCAAGTAAGTAAGGTTACAAGAAGGCAGGGAGGATCTACCGAAGTCTTAAAATATGACTAAAATATGACTAAATATGACTATGAACGCATCTTAACTTAACGCTTATTAAAACTTAGAAGAATTTCTATCATTTTACAAACAAATCTGGCAGCACTAACGTCGGCATTTTTTGCAAACAAAAACAGAGAGCAAATTACTCTCCTCATGGGTCATATGTATACGTGTATGTATATATATGTACATACATATTTTTGTATTTTGATGTTGTTGCATTTGCACTCTCCATCAAAGCAGATAAAACCAGTGTAGCCTTTCATGAGCTTTCAAACTGCAGTCTTCATTTAATGTACATTCAATATGCTGAGAGTATGTTTGTATGTAAATATGATTAACAGGGAGGAAAATGGGCTCACAACAAGTGGTTGGTTGTAAATAAGAGGCATTTGTATATACATACATAAATAAATTAAATTGTAAACAATTATGCACTTACACATACATACATACAAACAAGCTTTTTGTACACGCGATTAACACGTGCAGGCGTTGCAAATGAGAATAAATTCCAGATGATAAGATTTTAACGCACGAAAATAACCTTTTCTAATCGCTATCACATACATATATATATGTATACTCATTGGCACATACATATGTAGTAATAATTGAAGTACTTGAAATTTTTTTTAATTTAATACATGTCAATGTATACAGCCTTGGCCAAAAGTATTAGGCACTCCACCATTTACTGAATTTTTTGTTTTAACAAGTGAAGTAATGAAGTTTTATTAGTAAAATAGTGAAAATACAAACAATTAGTGACAATAACATTAATATTTAGTATGTTCACCCTTCGAATTAATAACGGCTGCAATAATTCTCTTAGGCTGCAACTACCCAACGCGCGTACCAGCCGTCCATAGTAACAAAGTTGTCACCGATTTCCCATAGCGTTGCTGACGTTTGTGTCGCAGAAACCAACAAAGTTTTGATTTTTCCGTAAAACCGGCTCGGCTCATTTTTCCATGGGATCCTCGCAAACGAGAATTTCGCAAGGAAAAAAGAAAAGAAGAAATAATGTTTTCATAAGATTGGTATAATGTCTTCAAAATTACTCTATGGTAAGAAGCAATGGCTGTTAATACTTTAAGGCGATCTTAACTAAGCTTTCCTCAAAGTTTGATTCATCAGACTACAGAATATTCGACCAATCTTCTTCCATGAAATGTTTGTATCGGCGAGCCCATTCCAAATGATTTTTCCTATTTTTTTCTGAGAGCCACGGCTTCTTTCGGGCTTTACATCGTTCTTCTAGCTGTTCGAGCACTAACTGGTTTACTAAATTCATCCGAAAGGGCAGCTGCAAGGGCAGAAGAAGATTTTTTGCGATCCATGAGTATTCGGTCTTCTCGTTTACTGGTTAGACACTTTCTTCCACTTTTTGATTTATTATTGCAGGATTTCATCTCCACAAATCGCCTGATAGCACATTGGATCACGCTCCGCATACATCCCACCAAATTGGCGATCTCAATCGGAGACTTACCTTCTGCACTTTGAACTTGAATTCTAACTCTATCATCGTAACTAATTTCACTTTTTTTCGGCATGTCGGCAAATTTGAACAGTTTTTATAAGATTGGTAACTTTTCACTAAATGTAATTTACACTTTCACTTTCAAATTTTAAATGCGGCAATTCTTTATAAATTTCTTAAAAATGACAATTTTTAGGTTTGGCTTACCCAGAGTGCGATGACGTTTATTCGTTTAATCAACAGGCAAAGACCCGTGTAAGAAATTTACAAAAAGAAAGGTTACAACAGAGGTTACTTTGATAGCCACATTTGAGAATACTTGTCATGGCTGTATATATATACAAATTTATAGCATATATTAAACACAACTAACTACAACAGTGACCCACAGAATTAATCGCAACTCAAATATTAAAAACTGCAATGCTCACTATCAATCAGAATAATAAGAAGGTAAAAGCTGTCTATTACGGAGCATCATACATATAAAGGAGGGCACAACAAGAGCGCCTTGAATTACACTCAAGTACTCACGCCTAAAGTCGTGGCGAAGCAATCAAACCACAAAGTTAGCAATCTACGTGAAAAGTCTAAGGCAACTCAACTCTTGGAAGTGTGAGGAACTTGAAAGTGGTAGAGCTTCTCAGCTAAGTTGAAAATGTTTTGAAGGTAATGATGATACATAATATTTTGGGCCAAACTGATTCCTTTGCAATACATGGGACGGGTTCACTCTATATCTCATCGGTCTAAGTAAACAATTTTTATTACATCTTACTGTACAAATATCTAATCAAAAAGTTAATTGTAGTGAAAGGCAGTAGAGATCGAGATTTAATGTAGATTTTAAATATGAAGGATGAGTTGTATATTATGGCCTTCGTTATCTAAACTTAACTTTGATGTCAGTATTAGAAGTTAGCAAAAATTAAAAATCTTGTTTTGTTTTAATTTATTATAATTTTTTATTTCATTCCTTTTTTTATTATGGGTGTATGCATTTTTTTCGAAAATTAAGACTTTATTGTGAAAAATAATTTTAATTGGTCTGGAAACGGTTGCTTGATCAACTCCTAATACTTTTGCAAGTTCTTCTTGCGTCTGGTATGCATCTGCGTCGAGCAATGTCTCCAATTTTTCGTCTTGAAATTCTTTTGGATGTCCAGGTCGTTCTCCGTCGTCTAAGTCGAAATTGCCACTTTTAAACCTTACAAACCACTTTTGGCACGTTCGTACGACTAAAGCATGGTTACCGTCCAACGTCCAGTAAAATACGATGGCTTTCAGTAGTACTTTTCTTCATGTTAAAGTAATGAAGAATAACTCCCCGCAAAAACACTATCTGGTACAAATTTCGACATTTTCAAATGAATGAAACAAATCGTTGTTCACGCTAAAACAAATGACATCTACTGAACACGACGCGAAATAATACTAGTAGAGTCCTCTCTTAGAAAATTTCGTTCGTTCAATTTCGTTCTATTTCACTTTTATTTTATTCTAATTTTGACTTTCTTCTCTAAGCTCGTTTTATCTTTTTTATTGTATTTTAGTTTATCTCGCTTTATCTCGTCCAGCTTTTTTTATTTTTTACATTATTTTATTATAATATATTATATTATATTATATTTTATTTTATTTTATTTTATTTTATTTTATTTTATTTTATTTTATTTTATTTTATTTTATTTTATTTTATTTTATTTTATTTTATTTTATTTTATTTTATTTTATTTTATTTTATTTTATTTTATTTTATTTTATTTTATTTTATTTTATTTTATTTTATTTTATTTTATTTTATTTTATTTTATTTTATTTTATTTTATTTTATTTTATTTTATTTTATTTTATTTTATTTTATTTTATTTTATTTTATTTTATTTTATTTTATTTTATTTTATTTTATTTTATTTTATTTTATTTTATTTTATTTTATTTTATTTTATTTTATTTTATTTTATTTTATTTTATTTTATTTTATTTTATTTTATTTTATTTTATTTTATTTTATTTTATTTTATTTTATTTTATTTTATTTTATTTTATTTTATTTTATTTTATTTTATTTTATTTTATTTTATTTTATTTTATTTTATTTTATTTTATTTTATTTTATTTTATTTTATTTTATTTTATTTTATTTTATTTTATTTTATTTTATTTTATTTTATTTTATTTTATTTTATTTTATTTTATTTTATTTTATTTTATTTTATTTTATTTTATTTTATTTTATTTTATTTTATTTTATTTTATTTTATTTTATTTTATTTTATTTTATTTTATTTTATTTTATTTTATTTTATTTTATTTTATTTTATTTTATTTTATTTTATTTTATTTTATTTTATTTTATTTTATTTTATTTTATTTTATTTTATTTTATTTTATTTTATTTTATTTTATTTTATTTTATTTTATTTTATTTTATTTTATTTTATTTTATTTTATTTTATTTTATTTTATTTTATTTTATTTTATTTTATTTTATTTTATTTTATTTTATTTTATTTTATTTTATTTTATTTTATTTTATTTTATTTTATTTTATTTTATTTTATTTTATTTTATTTTATTTTATTTTATTTTATTTTATTTTATTTTATTTTATTTTATTTTATTTTATTTTATTTTATTTTATTTTATTTTATTTTATTTTATTTTATATTATTTTATTTTATTTTATTTTATTTTACTTTATTTAATTTAATTTAATTTAATTTTATTTTTTTTTATTCTATTTTATTTTATTTTATTTTATTTTCCTTTATTTTATTCTCCTTTATTTTATTTTAGATTTTTTATTTTGTTATTTTATTCTCGTGAAATAAACGTAATCGTCATGAGCAAATTTACAACCGACTGTTAGCGTACTCATGTACATATGTACATACAACATACATATGTACATTCTACTATGTTTGTATGCAGCGTACAAAGCGCCAAGGTAATTGACCTTTTTCGTTGTAGAATGTCACAACCATATGGATAGCAGCCGCTCGTGACGAAAACTGGAGATTGTAAATATGTATGTATTTGTTTGTACATATTTATGCTTGTATAGGTATTATATTTAGTATTTTTTTATGAAACTCTTTAAGTGGAGTTTCAATTATTTATTTAGAAATATGTATGAGTGCAAGTAAAATTAATAATCGAAGAAATATACAACAATGTCTGTTGTACATATGTATATCCATATATATTATATATACTTTCACTATTTAATATATTTATTCTTTTATACGCACTTTTTAAGTAACTTTGTGGCAGTCGAAATGGTTTTGTAAAATTTCCTTATCACCGTTTCACACAGTTCTTGAATTAATACTAGAAATTCCTGTTAACAATGAAATTACAATCAAAAGATATATGCAAAATTGAGTTTGATAAACAAGTTGATTTGTACGACTTTTCCCAGACCGCACTGACCGACTCAACCGACTGCTGTGTTGTGCTCGTCGTGAGCACAAATTATATTCTAAAAGCCGATTGTAGTCAACTTGAACAAATTGTCCGAATGCATTTAGAGACACACAGATATGTATTCATACATAAGAACTAACATGTGTATGTATTGTATGTATATTTGTATCTGCGAATAAGCCACCACAAAGCAGCCGGCAAATTGGAGAATGTATATTTATGTGTAGGTTCCATTAGGGTAAGAGTTGAAGTCACTTAGAAATAAATTTCACATTTCTGAATTTAGAGTCAGAAAAACACTGTGGTTGCCCACGTACCTGATGGAACTAAGTAAGCAGTAATTGAATTGGCTAGGAATGGAAACTTGCCGGAGAAACTGTTTCAATTAGTATGCTGTCACGGGGTTCAACTCTGTATGCAATTGCTGAATCAGAATTGCTTACATTCTTCATTAGACTCTTTCTGTCTGTGACTACATAAGTAGTAGCAGTACAAGCCCCATTCTTTATCGACTAAGAGCGCACAAAAGATTTGAATAAGTAGCTTAGCCTAACCAGCCTAAGGGATTATCTTAGCGCCGTAAAAGAAATACATTTAAAATTAATATATCATATCAAATGAAGTGGTGGTCTTCAGCCAACAAGCAAAAAAAAAACAAACCGCAAAAACTTTCTTCAAAAATATATATTTTTATACATATGTGTCTGGAAACAACACATAATTTATTGTTTTATTAGCGTATACCCCGCTTTATTTATTCTCCCATTGGATATACCAAGTGAAGCCAGAACCTCTTCCACCAAATATTTCTCACGCAGTAGAGGCCTACCTTTGCTCTCACCAGGGCGCACCTTGTCGATTCTTCAATTTCATCATGTTTTTTTTAAGATTTGGCAGGTCTGCGGCAACATTGATTGAGGTCCAAGCAGTTTGTTGACGGTGAACTTTAATATTTCACACAATATGCTCGAAAGAACCTTATATGCGATATCAACGAGGTTTATCCCATGGTAATTGGTGCAGATTGTGGCATAGAACTATTTATGGATTTATCAGAGCACACTTAAATTCAAATCGTCAGACATGCTTTCCTCCGAACATATTCTGCACCTTGTCAGCTCTTCACTGCCATGTTTGAATAGTTCTGCCGGTTGGTCGTCAGCTCCAGCCACTTTGTTATTTTTAAGCGGGAGATCACTACTCGAACTTCTCCATTATCAGGTAATGGAATGTCTTTTCCGTCGTCGTCGATAGGGGTTTTGGGCTCACCATCTCCGGATACTCCATTTGCACTGCTATTTAGCAGGCTAGAAAAGTGTTCCCTCCATAAATTCACTATACTCTGAGCATCAGTCGCTAGATTACCTTCTGGGTTATGATCCAGTATTGAAACATTCTGTAAGTAGCCGCATTTTTCATAGGTTTTTCGTTCCTTACTCTTCGTAAGCTACTCGCACTTTTCAGCCTCTCACTTTTTCGCCCTGCAGATGCATCTCGCTTTTCTCTTCAACTTTTTTTTTTGGAGTTTAAGTCAAGTTCAGCTGTCTATTGCTACCAACAGAGGCTGATGCGTATTTTTGCTATACAATATGTCAAGGAATTTCGTTTTTGTAGTTTGAAAGCCAGGATCCGGCGACAGAGTCTCTCTCACAACACGAATCCGCTTCTTTATATGACCTAAAACATGTCAATAATTGGAAATATTTCTACTAATTGATAAACGCACAGCACAGCATCAAGGCGACTCGGAGAAAGTAGAAATAATAATTCGAAAAATACATAACAAAGAAAAAAATTATGTACGAGTATGTATATATATTTTTTAGATTTTCCCGCAGTAAGAATCACTTACCACTTTTTTCACTTCGTTTTCGATATTAATACTTTTTTTACACTTTTTGGTTAATTTTTTATTTTCACTTTATTGACGGATTTTGATTTTGGTATAAAAAGAAAAGCCTTCCAGTGAATACATTACATTGCTTGAATGAAAGTTTCTGATCCTCATTATTGAGAATTTTAAAAATAAAATTAAAAAAATTAAAATAAATAAAAAAAAAATTTAATTTAGACAGATATACAAAATTAAATATCAAAATAAATATAAAAAAATTAAAAATTAAAATATATATAAAAAAAATTTTAATTTAAACAGATATACAAAATTAAATATTCAAATAAATATAAAAAAATTAAAAACTACAATAAATATAAAAAAAATAAAAATTAAAGAAAGTAATAAAAGAAATTAGAAAAAATATCAAAAAAAAAAAAATAAGAAATAACAAAAAAAATAAATAACAAAAAAAAAATAAATAATAACAAAAAATAAAAATATAACAAAAACATTTAAAAAATATAAAAAATTAATAAAAATAAAAACATTTTTTCATTTTTTATTAAAATATTTATTGAAAACATGTTTTTATACGAACACAGCAAGAAACAGAAATTTACATATATGTATTTATTCAATTATTTAAAAAAAAAGTGTATAAAGTGATCATCAGTTGTTTTTTATTATTGTTTTTGCAAATACAAATTGGTACGGATTTGTATATATAAAAAATGTAGTGAACTGAACGACCGTAGCAAAAATAATTTTATTTAAATTGTTATTATTAAATTACGTTGGATTACTTCTAAAAATAGAAATAAAAAAGAAACACGTAATAGTGTAAACTGTTTTACAATTAAGAATATAAGTAATAAATTATTTTCCAAATTTTCTAAAAGTAAGTAAAACTTTCACAAACTGAAAGTGCAAAAACCTTTTCTTAACGTTGGTTGGCATTTTTTTTTTACTTTTAGCGCGTAAGTCGACTGAATTTGAAAAAGAAAACCGGGTGTATTTAATACTAATTGAATGAGAAAAAAGTGTGTGTTTGAAAATAAGTAAGTATTTATATGCATAATAACATATAAATAATTATTAATGCATGAAATCTATGCTAAATATGAATTTCGAAAATATAAATTTTTGAACTCATACAAATATTCAATTTAATTGTGTCTTACTAGCTAATGATGTAAAAGCGTTTTATTCGCACTTCATTTTTTAAGAGAATCGGCAAATCAATGATGATTGATATACATAGCGATGTGTAAGCTTTATGTTTTCGTAACCCTCATAAATTTTTCAAATTTATATACATATTTATTTCTAATTTCTCAAATATTTTGTATTTTTCGAGTTTTTTCATAAATTTGATTTTTTTATTTATTTAATTCGCATATATTTAGATTTAATAATTTTAGATGATTTTTAATTGATTTCCTTATAATTCACTATTATTTTTTTTTATAATTTAAAGTAATTAAAAATCAAAGAAATTTTGTATGCTTCAAAGGATTTTTACATTTTTTTTTAATTAGAATTTTAATTTTTTGTTTTTGCTCGAATTGTAGGTAAAATTTTATAAATTGAATTTTAATCGCTAAACTTTACAAATTTTTAGCATAATTTAACATTTTTCTAAACTTTATTTTTCAAACATTTTATTATATAAAATTATATTTTACTAAATTTTTAGTTATTTTTGATGTTATGTTCATCTTTATATCAAATCATTCATATTAAGAGTGAAATGTCACAATGCACTGCTCGCTATGCATATCAAGCGTCATTAATGTAAATTTTTTTAACTTTCTTATATTTTTTAATTAATTCCAACCCAACAATACCTTTCAAATAAACAAAGGAGATCTTCTTAAGAAAAAGGGAAATTGTTTTTTGTTTTTGCTGTAGACTTTCGAACTAGGAGCTATCATTTTTTTTTTTAAATTCTACACGGTATTGAAAATTTCGAGTCTTTTTTGTTTTTGTTTGTTGTGTCTATTTTTATTTGTACCGCTATTGTAGTTCCAATTTTCGTGAAACTGGAACCATAAATTTGTACATGTTTTTAAGCAAGAAGAAATAACTAAATATATATACTGGTAATTATGGCTGGGAAGCTTAAAAGCTTTCCTTATATTATTTGTTAATTTTATGAGTCATTCCAAAGCTAACCATGATCGTTCGCACATATACTTATTCAAGATAACAAATACACATTTGATATGCTAAAACATTTTTTTTTCGCGCCGCTCTGATCGACATATGTCTGTTGTTACGTTGCAGTTGTTGTACATATATTTTGCTTCATTTTTTGTTGTAGTTGAGCCTTTAAATATGAATACCACTTAATAATCGAACATATTTTTTTTTATAATTAGCTCAATTAAACTAAGTTCTATGGTGGCGATAGCTAAACCATAAATGTGCGTATATTCGTTTTTTTTTAAGAAAAAATGAAAATTTAGCGGCACAACAGTTATGAATTTAAAACAATTGCAAATGACAGAAGAAAAAACGAAATTAATTTGCGACTTGCGTTGCTTGCGGTATGTATGCAAAACGACAAAACAACGGTTGCTAAGGAGTTCTTATTATGCTGAAGGAGTATGATATGGTTAGACGGTTGATGTTTTTGTTATGATTATTATTATTGTTTAACATTTGTTTGTCTGCGCTCTTTCTTAAAACAAAAAAAAAAGTATTTTACTCATTAAATTTGTTGAAATTACAATTTAGGAATATTAAAATTATTATAGTAGTAAATCGTTTGCATAATTCTAAAGTTTAAGAATTAGTTTTACGTTCCATTTCTTACATAAGACGACACTTCTCATCGCCTTGCTGTGGGTCACCTTGTTGATGATAGAGTTCCTCATTACCAGCACCATCCACTGTAGACACACCACCCAAACGACTGCCGCCGTATGAGCGATGACGCGAGGAATGCGTTACAATTGTGCGTTTTACACGTTCTGAGCCAGCTACTTCCTCTCCATCGCCATTGAACAGTGATGTCTTCATATTATCGCCAATAAACCATTTTTGTGTCTTCATCACAATATTCGTTGGTGGCTCATGTGTTACTCCAGCATCGGAAGACCAAACAGTTACCACGCCACCGGCATCAATTTTAACGGTACGATGGAATTTGAAACTAGTTTCATTACCACCAGCTGTACGTATCAATTGCCAACCGCCGATTTGCACTTCTTTATTGCCCTTATTGTGCAATTTCACGAATTTACCCTCGGAATCTACTTCGGAAATTTCAATATCGCCTTTAGCACTGCCAGTTACGAAATATTCTGACTGACTCAGATCTTCTGATTCGTCGATGACGGTGCGTTTCCGTTTAAGCGGCGCTGTTGAAGCGCCGCGAGATGGCGTCTTACGTAAGGGTGTAGCCCGTGTGCCGCGTAAACTTTGACTAAACGAACCAGATGCCGCCGTAGAAGAGTGTGGTGTAATGTTTAGTCGTGACTCTTCCCCACAAAGCAACTTATCGTAGGCTGCAATTTCCAAGTCAAGCGAAACCTAAGTAAGTAAGTAATAAAGTGAGTTGAGATTTTTGAGCAAAAAGCATGTAAAATAAGCGTCTACCTTGATATCCATTAAATCTTGGTATTCTTGCAATTGTTGCGCCATTTCATCGCGCAAGCGTTGCAATTCCGCTTCCAAATTGGCGATGTCCGCATTGTGACGTGCACGTTCGCGGTCAAGTAATTGCTCTAACTCGCGAATGCGTGCAGTCAGCGCAGCGTTGGTCGACTCCAGTTCACCGATGCGTGAATTAAGTGCATCGATGCGTGTGCGTGTAGTACGCAGCTCTTCAATAGCACCTGCAGCGGCATTTGAATTGCGATTGGCGGCCGATTGTAAGTTCTTCATCTTTTGTTCATACAACAATTCAATCTCATCGCGATTGGCGCGCATTTGTGCCTCATATTGATCGCGTAATTCTTGCAGCGATTGTTGTAACTTTGCTTCGTACTGTTCTACCAAACGGCCATCGATTTCACTGATTTCCACTTGACGACGTGAACGAGTCTCATTCATTTCTTGTACGTGTATCTGATCTTTAAATGTTAACTCCTCACGCAAGCTTTGGATATTATTCTCCAAATCGACGCGTGCTAAGGTCTCATCTTCTAAAAGCTTACGCGCTTCCTCTAATTGTTTGCGTAAGCGTTCTATCTCCTTTAGTGCCTCATTTAGCTCATCCACAGCCTTTTTGCGATCGGCATTAGCGGCATTGTACTTATTGCTTAAATCAGAAGCACGCGATTCATACATACGGGCATTTCCTGCAATGAAAGAAGTTCGTTGTCAAACATTTCGGTAGGTATACACAAAAACTATAAATAATTTTGATAAGTTCAAAAAATGTTAATACTAAACTTAACACAATCTACAGATATTAGTTATCAAATAATCGACTATTGATAAGCAGTGATGAGTAGATTTATTTTTTATTCATTCGGTGCTGCATTTACTACATTATAAAACATACCTTCAGCGAATGAGCAGTCTTTAGTTTTCTTGTCCAACTTCGCCTTTAACTCTTCATTCTCATCCCATAAACGTTTTGTGTCTATTTCCAATTTGGCCTTTTCACGGGCAGTTTCATCCAATAAACGTCTCGCATCGCTCAATTCATTTTCGTACATCGACTTTATGTTGGTAGCTTCACGGGTGACAGTATCACGCGTTGTCTGCACTTCAATGGATAAGCGTGCATTTTCAGTTTCTAAATTACGAACACGATCAATATAGCAGGCCAAACGATCATTCAAATTTTGCAATTCAGCCTTTTCTTGTAGACGCGAATGCCTAGTCGGACTCAATGGACTAGCAGAGCGATTAGCACCTACATTCAATGGCGTTGATGTGCCACCGGGCTGTGGTTGGGGCGTGGCTGTTCCGGCGCGTTTTGATTTTGTAGCCATTTTTTATTGCTCTTTTACGACCTGCTAAATATAAGTTAATAAAAATTTGACATTCAAATAAACCTATTAGTAAAATAAAAAATTCCTGAGCGCTAACCCGGCTATTTATGTACAAATGCAGCTACAAATGATTTTGGCGGTGATACCGACACTAGTGAATTTGAAAAAGTGTTGCCAATTAAAGTAATATTGCATCCTATTAGATTAGAGAAATATGTATACGTATTATTTTGACGTATATACACACGTATACATGTTAATAAAAAATTAAAAGTGCATAAAATAATTATTGCTGCCCCGAAAACACACTTAGGAAAAAATTAATTAAATCTCACGCATTCTCGTATGTAAACAATTAGATTTTTTACTGTCACGTACAAATATTTAACGAAAATACGGAATTTAACATCTTGGATTGAGTCTGGCAGCGCCCAAAGAATGTGACCCCCTAAAAAAGCATACGCGCCGCTTATTTTCTATTCTCGTCACGGCGACTGTACTAAATCCCCCTGCCCTATCTTCTCTACTTCACAAACTTGTCGCACTGATCTCCCGAGACTTTATGATAATCTAAATTAGGAATTCCGGGCCTAAAAGACTTGTTATTGAAGCACTTGGCTGCATAATTTGTGTGCGTTTAATTCCAATTAACCGGCTTTTGCCATAATTTTTTTCTTCATATTTGATGCCCCGCCATTTCTAAGCTTTCACCACGTCAAAAATTCTTTAGCAGGCCGGATTTGCTGCATAAATTAGTGTTATAATAAAGCTTTTCTTGCAATCATTATAAACACAATGTTTTAATAAACTTTTCGAAATACACACCAATATTAAACACAATTAATTAAGAGTTTTATTAGAAAAATTTACACACAAGCAGACGCACTTAATTCGTTAGAAAAATTCACTTCGTTGTTGGAGGTTATGCTGCTTTCTACTGAACTGTCAGTTAGAAGTAGCGTTTCGTTAAGTCAGTGCAGCCAAGTGCATGAAAATTCCGTGCAGTTTACAAGAGTGTTTTACGCCTTCATTCTATTTTTTTTTTACATTCTCCTTTTGGTACCATACGTAAATATCACATTTTTTTTGCTTACTGTTTTCAAAGAGTAATTGTAGTTTTTTTCTTGTCGCATTTTCATTGTTTACCGAATATCTTTTCAACTAGCAATAGAAGAATAGTGAAAAATAAACTATGTGGACTAAAATTGCGTGTATTGCATTGTTTGCATTAATTTACTGTGAATTTTTGGCGGATTATGTTCAGCTATCGCAATGTTATTGGCAATCTCCAAAGCCGGCTAATGTTGGTAGTAAAAATGAGGATGAGCTGAGAGCTATCATAATTGCGGACACGCATTTGGTTGGACCAATTCGTGGCCATTGGCTAGACCGGCTATATAGAGAATGGCATATGCATCGGAGTTTTCAGGTAAAAAAAAAAACAGTTTAGAAAATATACATTTCGCAAATTTTCAAAATATTTACAAAATATGTGTATTTTTAGGCCACAATGCAGATGTTTGAACCAGACGTGATTTTCGTTTTGGGCGATCTCTTCGATGAGGGTGACTTTGTAAATGATAGTGATTTTCAAAAGTATGTTACACGATTTCATCGTCTATTTAGTCCACCAAGCGGGGTGCCTATCATAAGTGCGGTGGGTAATCATGATGTGGGCTTTCACTATAAGTTAGTATTTGGAAAAACACTCACTCAATTTTATTCACATGCCAATATACATATATGTATTCATTACAGAATGGACACATATTTCTTAAATCGCTTTTCAAAGCATTTCAACAACACCGGAGTAGAAATGCATACCATCAAAGGCAATCATTTTATAATGATCAACTCAATGGCGATGTTGAATGATGGCTGTGGTTTTTGTAACGCAGCGTTGCGTGATTTGAAAAATATATCAGGTGCATATTATACAGCACGCTGACAAGAAATTAACTATATAGAAATTTAATTGTATGTATATTGCAGAAAAACTCAAATGCCTTGAAAATGGCCATAAATGTGTTGATGCTAAGACTTTAGAGAAGCACAAAAAATATAGTCGTCCAATATTAATGCAACATTTTCCTACATATCGCAAATCAGATGCTGTTTGCAGGGAACATGATGCTCCAGAAATGGAGGTCTATCGCGAAAATTGGGAAGTACTATCAAAAGATTCAACAGATTTGTTAGGTAAACATCCATTTACCAATTTCAATGTCTATAGATTATTATTATAAAACAAACTGTCACATTAGGCACACTCCTATCACCACGTGTTGCTTTTGCCGGTCATAGTCATCACTATTGTTTAAGCATAAATCGATTTGGTATTGAGGAATATACGGTGGCTTCTTATAGTTGGCGTAATAAAGTGGAGCCGAGCTTTCTACTGGTATTTAATTTATATTATTATATTATATTTACAGACATTTTAATATCACATCCATATATAATATTTTACCCAACTGTACTTCATATCTAAAGGCTGCATTTACCGGCTCATCATATGCCGTTTTGAAATGCAATATGCTAAGGCAACAACATGTGTACAACGTTTACATTGCTAGTGTGGTAATTTTAATAGCAACAATTATTGTGTTAATTTATCGAAGGCGCGATAAAAGGAGAATGAAAACTTAGTGTTCCAATGAAGTATTAACTTTATATCTTGTATATAATAATATTAATATGTACACTCTTATATACATATTCATTCCGGTGACAATAGCATTATTTTAACTATATAAAAATTGTACCTTAGCCCAACATTTTTGTGGCATAAAAAAGTTTATAACTTTTTTATACATATAATAAATAGTAAAAATAATGTTGACGATTTAAGGAAAACTTTTCGTTCACATTAAGCCAATACTACTATCTGCTCTTCATTTAATTTTGCTCGCATTATTATACCCACAATCCCTACGTACCATCCAACTCTAAGAAAAACTAATTAAAAATTATTTGTAAAATAAAATTTATTTTTAGCTTTTTAATTAGTTATGATTTCTATGTAGTAAAGCAGATACCAGGCGTTATCACAGACGTTCATAATTGGCCCGTAATTGCACATATACATTTGTATGTATGTATGTAGTTACTGATTATGATTATTGAATTACCTAATAATGATAACTTTTTTTATGTATGTAATCGGTAGTACACGTTGCTTGAACATTTTTCTTAATTGACAAATTTATTTTTCTAATTCTTTTTAAGTTTATTGGCCAAATTTTTATATCTAAAGACTTTTAAATGCATTTCAGCTTATTAATTACTATTTGCAACGGTCAAAAATTACAATTTTTTACATTTAGAATTTTTTTTTATATTTGCATACAAAACCGATTACATACTTGTTGTTTTTATTTTTATTTTTTAATATTTTGTGCACAATTTTTGGTTATTGGAAATGATAAGTACAAATACAAATATGTACAAACATGATTTTGTACATAAAACTACTACTACTATACAAATTACATAAATTAATACAGGGTTTATTTTCAAACTATTTTTCGGATTGTTCTCAATATGCATAAATTGTACATACGCACTTTTGTGGACTCACACTAGGTAACATAAAAAATAAGATTCTGAAATAAAAAATTTCACCTATATTATTTCTAACTAACACATATTTCACACTTATACAATACATTTGCATACCTAATAACTGTTAAATATATAGTAACTACGAAATGCAACAGTTTAAGACTTTTTAAATAACTAAATTTTCGCTATAAAAATGAATTTGGTTTTCAGCCAAGCTGTTTGCTATTTCGCCTCTATTGTCTTTGATCAAGTTCAAACTTTTGGCACCATACATACGAACATGTAACTAGTTGTGTATGAGTTTAACCCCGTAATTTAATTTAATATCTATCCCTATCATTTGACTGTTCTCTGTTATTAGCCAGTAGATGTATGGATGTCTGCGCCGTGCTATCTCGTGAAAAATCTGGGCTGACACTGCGTGGTTGGAAGCATTCTTTTGGTAAAAACCTGTAGGGTGAAAAGAAAAAGCGCAAATGAACACATAAATTTTTATACGTTATGAATAATAGTTCTAAAAATTTAGTTTAAACATATCAAATGACTTCCAACTTGCCGATGAATGACGGGTGATAATAGCTCCACATCCATTTTCTTCACCACAGTGGGCCCGGTAAGGAAAGACGTGACAGTGCCCACCAACAGTGTCGAAAGAACACCAATTACGGTAATCCAGTGAAAGGATAAGCGATATAACGGAAATACTTCTGATTCCCCACTATAGTCCAGCACTGGTATGGTGTAATTGACCAAACATTCCGACACGGAAACATTCAGCTTATGTGGCCCAATATGACCAGCACCTATAGCTGCTTGCGAGCCGAATGATATCCAACCGGACATCACTGCACCAGCAGCTGCACCGGCTAAAGCACCTTTGGTATTACTCCACGGCACCAACATGCCAAGCGTAAAAATGCCACAAGTTGTGCCACCCGCAATGGCAGTCACCGATGTGGCCACACTCAATATACCGCTCAATTTCTCAAGCACAAATATCAGCGACATTGCAACTGCACCCAATAGCACGATTACACTTTTAACTAAAATATTTGTTGCTTTCTCGCTCAATTTCACCTTAAAACTACCACGCACAATATCCTGCAAGAAGACCAAAGCTGTGGCATTTAGTACAACCGAGAGTGAGCTTAGTGCAGCGCCAAATACTCCGGCGATAAAGAGACCCGGTATGCCTTGTAGGTGGCCAACAGTTTGCATTACATAAATCGGTAGTAGCTGATCGTCGTTCTGTGTGGACGAATAATCGAATCAACTATTGATATGTTAGTATGTAAATAATTGCATTTGTACAAATAAAAACTTGTAATTTACCGATATGAGTCCAGCATTGAGTGGATCGCAATTGCGATAGAAATCGAAAACTAATAAACCCGCAAAACAGCAAACTGATAAGAAGAGTACGACGCCCAGCGTAAAGATGATAATCGATTGTTGACCTTTCTTCAATGACGGCAATGACATGTACCGTTGAACCATTGTCTGATTGACGCTATTAAAGGCGGTCCAGTAGAAGAAGCCACCAATTAGTACAGCCCAAAATGATTGCCGTTCATAGGGAGATGGTGTTATGCTGTAAAGGAAAGGAATAAGTTTTTAAGTATTTAAATTTTATGATAACAATTTTTTGAATGCGGTTTTCTTTTTATAAAAGTAAAAGAGGAAGAAAAAGTATGCCAAAAAAATGTCATTTTCACTTACTTAAAGAAAATTATACGTCCACCTTCGGAAGCATGTTTAAACACAGGTCCAGGACCGCCAGCTGCTATTGTGCCCAGTATTACAACAACAACAAGCGCTATAAACATAACCAGTGTCTGCCAGGCATCGGTATGGACTACAGCTTTTATACCGCCCTGAAGAGTGGAAGAATGTATATATTCCTCATGAGAAATATTTTATAATAATGAATATATTTATTATTATTAATTATGGAAAAAATCATCGCGTAGAGAACAAATACAAAATGAATATGTTATTAATTTTACTGGTCACCATAAACAATTTTTTTGGATTTCTGTTTTTAGGAATGAATCCCGATTATAAACATTAAAAAACATATGAAGTTTTAATTGTTAGTTCATGAAGTTTGGTTTTGTCTTGTTTACTTCTATTAGTATATTTTTCTTTTTAAATAAAACTTTTAAAAACAAACTTTTATCAAAGAAAAAAATTTCTCCCACTTTCGGAAGGATTTATTATTTTTATTATTATTAAAATCATTATTTTTATCATTAGTATTATTATTATTGTTGTTATTATTAAAATTATTATTAATGTTATTATTGTTTTTATTCTAATTGTTATTATTAGAATTATTTTTATTATTATATTATTATTCTTATTATTATTATTATTATTATTATTATTATTATTGTTATTATTATTATTATTATTATTATTATTATTATTATTATTATTATTATCATTATTATTATTATTATTTTTATTATTCTAATTGTTATTATTGAAATTATTACTTTTATTATTATTATTATTATTATTATTATTATTATTATTATTGTTATTATTCTAATTGTTATTATTGAAATTATTACTTTTATTATTATTATTATTATTATTATTATTATTATTATTATTATTATTATTCTAATTGTTATTATTAAAATTATTATTTTTATTATTAATATTATTATTGTTATTATTATTACTATTATTATTATTCTAGTTGTTGTTATTAAAATTTTTATTTTTATTAAAAATATTATTATTAATGTTATTATTGTTATTATTCTAATTGTTATTACTGAAATTATTATTTTTATTATTATTATTATTATTATTATTATTATTATTATTATTATTATTATTATTATTATTATTATTATTATTATTATTATTATTATTATTATTGTTATTATTATTATCTGCACAAATTCTATTCGTTTTTATTTTTTGTGATAATCTAATTGATTAAAAAATATTTTTTTTAAATTGATTTTTCAATTATATTTTATACGAAATAATACGCAAAAAAAAACTCAAAAAGTGGAATAAAATTTGAAACAAAAAGGGCTAATAATACGGAGGTTGTAGGGGTGCTATATGTTATAGTCGTCCGATTTCGATGATTTTCAGTGCTAACGTTTATTTTTTTTTTTGCATAAAACATCAATTTTGAACAAATCGTTTGTACAGCAGCTATACACGTATGTCCGAATACCAAATTTCATGCTAGTGCCGAAAAATTATCATTTAAATATAACAGTTAATACATAATTTCATGTAAAAGTTAAAAATAACTCAAAAAACCAAAATGGAATAATAGTAAAACGATTTCTTTGTTAAATTGGCTATCAGCGTCAGCAAGTTAATACTGTATGCAAAAAAAAAGTCTGACTACATTTGTACAAATATTTCCATATAAATATATATGTAAATAAAAATAAAATAAAAACACATACATACATGCATACATATACTTATATAACACTTACAATTAATGTATAGATCACGCAAACCACGCAAATTACTCCACTTATAACGTAGATATTTACGCCAGTAACTGTAAAATAACAAAAGTAGGGGAAACAAAATTTAACTCATTTTAATTATTTGTTAAAAAAAAAGGTCATTAAATTGTGTTTCATTGTATTTTACCTTGATTAAATGCTATTGCCGGCACATATAAAATTATAGGCAAGAAAAATATCTAAAAAAAATGAAATAAAATAATTATATTTTTCAATGTGTAATAAATCACAGAAGAAAATTATATAATATGTCACAAATTCACTGTCGCCATTACTCACAAGGGCTGTAAAAGACTGTGACTTTGATTTGTAGCGCAGCCTTTGTGAATGATGGCAACCCTATTGGGTAACATTTTGCACAAACCTCATCCATCACAAACATAAATGAAGCGATACTTCGTACACTGGAACTGAAGCGCAGCTCTAAATACTGTAAAAGAAAACATAAACAATTAAATGAGTAAAATAATCATTGATAAGCGGATTACATCGAACCCTTTTTAAAAAAAAGTGATTTGAAATAATGAGAATTTTAATTTTTAGTGTGAAAGTTTCATTTTAAAACGAGAGAGCATTTTTTATGTTCCCGGAATGAGAGCGTTGTAAGGCGTGAATGGGCTCACTATTATGATCGTTACGTAATAAGTGACTCAGTTATATGTAATTAAATATGAGGGTTATTTGTTAGACAATAATGTTCTCTACGAGTGACAAAGTTTATTTAAACAAGCACGGGAGTCCCTTGAAGGCGACCCATGACAAAATATTGGAAAAATTGTCCTCAACTATGCTCTATTAAAGAAGAAACAGCACGTAAAAATGGTTGGAGTAACCGATAAAGTCATTTTTAAAATCCCGCACTTTCCTCTTGACATGACTGAGGTCAGCGCTAAATGGTTGTCGAGAATGCTCACCTCTCCACAAAAAAATATAAAAAAAGCGCGTAGAGTATTTTTGCATTTTTGACCTCTGGTATCAAGAGAAGGATAGTGTATTGAGTCGAATTGTTATTGCAGAGGAAAATTGGGCTCATCATTATAATCCTGAGCCGCAGTGGCTTATCAAGCGCACAGCATCTCTCACGAATCATAAAGTGTCAACAGTCAGCTGGCAAACCCCATGACAATTCTATTTCGGGACTCAGAAAAATGATTATTAACTAAAAGAAGTCATTAAAGAGAAAAGGCTGGGAAATTTTACAAAACACGCCACAGCCCAGATCTGGCCCGAGAAATTTTTCAAAAAACGAAGAAAGTGCTGGGAGAGAGAAAAATGGAAAACATATTCAATCAAGCAAAACAGTTTCGGCGTATTTTGAAGATAAAGCGAAACAAATTTTTATGAAGCTATGAATAATTTGATTGAAAGATCTGAAAACGAGTCCGCCTTACAAGTGAATATATTGAAAAGGAAAAATAATTTGCTTTGTATTTCAACCTCTTTTCTTCATTCCGCGAACATAAAAGTGCGCCTTTAGTTTATCTTAACCTAAACTTCTTTGAGCATTATTTTGGAATATTCTTAATTCGTATCCATTTCAGCTATCTCTTTTTTAGCCTCTGTATCTTCGAAATCTTTTTGAAAACGCTAATGCTTATTATGAAGAAATTTTGAGGAAAACATTTTGAAATTTTTGCATTTTTCTGATGTCCCAGCATGACATTTTATTTAATATTTTATCTACAAGCCCGAACTTCACTACACAGGCATAAATTAAAATTTAATTATAGCAATCTCGAAGAAGTCATATAAAATTATTATCACTTGTTAAATAACTGAGATCAACAAACTACAATTTTGTCATTATCTGTCTTATAAATATATGTAAATATTTATCTTAAAAGAAAAAGCTGCTTTATTATGTTTATTCAACGAGAATTTCATATTTATTTATGATGCGTCTACATCGAAGTTGTTGTCTTCAAACTACCCATTAAAGATTATGCTCTTGCATCAGCGCTTCTCTCAATTCCCCAAAGTACAAAAACTCTATAGTAGAGAAAAGGTATTAAACCTTTTAGCGTTCCGAGTCATAAAACGACGGCTCTTTAAAGTCACCCATGAACATTTTTGTCACAAATTTGGGGTTTTTTTTCGGATTGCTTCACGCAACATGTGATCGTTTAACCGCAGAAGTGCTTGGTGCACTGTGCCATTGAACTGGAAGAACACAGTGTTCATAACCTTCACATCCGATAGCACCAGTCGATCCTGTTGTGGTCTTATCGAGCCACATTATCTGCACTGAGATGAGAAGCGATTTTCGGCCGAGCTGGATCTATAGCGATGTAAAGGGATCTACAGTTTACACTAAGCCGCCTTCGCACGTCTAATGGGTTTTTATGAGGAGCTTTTTAATTTATTTAAGAAATACACTCGGAGGGCTTGACTTTCCATGTCGAAGAGCGACCACAATAAGAAAAAATAATTTTTTATAATTTTGGAATGGCTATTACTGCCACTTTAGTAACTCCGCACAGTCGTTAACTTCATTAAGTGATTCCTGAGCTACATTTGCCGCTGATTTTGTTCAAAAATCAACAATTTTGAAATAAATTTTTCTGTCACGCGCTTCATACCGAAATCTTTGAGAAAAATGTTATGACATAACAACCAGTTGATGTGCTGACGTGCGTTTAGGACATTCGCCTACTTCAGCATCTTTAAGGCCTTCTTGGAAAAGCTTAGCTGGTAGCACTCTCAGTATAGGCTTTTGTTAGCATTACATAACATTTTAAAGGTATGAGGCATTGAGTATGAAACTACTGGGTAATTTGTGGTGGTCGCAAAAGAACCCTGCTTTCGTGCCTATCTCACTTTAAAAGCCATCAGATATATATATATATATACGAGGTATGTTCAAAAAATATCGCGAATTTTGTGTTTTTCAAAAATTATTTATTTATTCATGATTATCTATTTTGTCCCCTTCAAAGAAATCCCCATGAGATATTAAACACTTGTGCCCATGGTTTTTCCAATTTTCGATGCACTTCAAAAAATTATTTTTTTTTATCTTGTCCAGCTCCTTCGATGCCGTCTTTATCTCGTCAATCGTAGCGAAACGTCGTCCTTTCCTGGGATTTTTTTAGATTTTTTTCAGTTTAGAGAACAAGAAAAAGTCACAGGGGGCCAGATCTGGGGAATACGGTGGCTGCGACATCATTAGTGTGTTGTTTTTGGCCAAAAAGTCGCGCACAAGCAACGATGTGTGAGCAGGGGCATTATCTTGGTGCAAAAGCCAATTTTTGTTCTTCCACAAATCCAAACTTGCAGGTAATATTCCTTATTGATCGTTCTACCCTGTGGCAAGAACTCATGATGCACCACGCCCCTGGAATTAATTTTTTCGTCTGTTGTTGAAGTGCTCGGGCGTCCGGCACGCTCTTCGTCGTTCATATCTTCTCGGCCTTCTGAGAACATTTTGTACCGCCGATAAACGTTGCTTCGGCCCAAGGTAGCTTCTCCGTATGCCACAGTCAACATTCGGAATGCATCCGCGCATTTAATTTCGTTTTTCACACAAAATTTGATACAGGTTCTTTGATCCACTTTTTTTGAATAGGTAAAAATCGAAGACCATCCAAAACACGTGCAAGCAAAGCAGCTGTCAACAATTAAGTGAACATTCAAAATGGCCGAGCTTGTCGGCATAAGTGACAGACATGAGTACCAACATAACGCCACAAAAAACTCGAAATTCGATTATACGTAACCCGCGAAAATTCAAAATTCGCGATACTTTTTGAACACACCTCGTATATATATATATATGGATATCTCGACTATTATTCCACCTTTAGTGCACTCTTCCTTACTAAAGAAAGAGTAAGTGGCCTTTACCGGGTAGAAGGTTTCCGCTCCTCGGTCGCATTTTACGTTTGGACCGAGTTCTGATATATTTTACTGAATGCTGCTATGACCTTGTAGAACATTAAGTCGGCTCGATATTAACGCTGATTCATACAATACAATGCTTGTATATGAGTGGGCTTAATGTCATCCCTCTTGTAAACCGGTTGATCTCGGATTTTTCTGACTTTATTGAGAGTCCTTGTCTCGCAGCCCAATCAGTTGCGATTTCAAGTGAACTCTCTATTTCCCGCGATAGTTGTTACAAGATCAACCGCATAAATTCTGTACTGTAAGCAGTTGGAGTAAATGATTTATTAGAGTGACCCAACAATAGTGGAGACAGGATCACACATGTGATATTGTGAGTGGTTTAACACCTTGCGTTTCACATACAGTACGTCAACTGTCCAACATATGGCTCAAGCAGGCAAGTTAGCTCTGGTTGATCCCAAAAGAAGAGCCAATCGACGAGATTGCGGTAGTGTTTACATTGTGGGGCATAAAACTGTTATCGCATTTTTGTATGCTCGACTGACTTCTAAGCAACTGACACAATAATTAAATTGAATAAAACGTTGACAGAGCTTTGACAATGTTCCCGTTAGCTGTTACAAAATCTTCGTACATTTATTACTTTAATTGTTTATTCTCTTGTGTTGCCGACAATATTTATTTATTTGTTTTGCTTTGACAAATTAAGAAACGAAAAACAATAAAAAGTCTTAAATGTTGTTTTTTTATCATTCATACGAGTGCATCTACTTGATGAATTTATCTGTTATCTATTATCTATTATTCACGGCAGAGATTTTTTTGCAATTGGACTTTAACCGTCCATTTTATTATGTCATTTTGATCGTTTATCACATGAAAAAAGGCAAATACCAAAAAAACCGTTTAAAAAATAACGCATGTGTCTTCAATTGTTAGCTCTTCAGATAATAAAAAGCTCAAGAGAGATTTTTTAAGTTAGAAAATCAACAAAGTTGCTTTGTAAAGGGTACTTTTTAGATATGTGATTTTCAAAAAGTACTAAAATGCATCTAGTTTAAGATTATGACCAAGAAATTCTACTTCTTCTTTATTCGCGTTGGCACCACTTACGCGATTATAGCCGAATCAATATTAGCGCGCCATTCCTCTTTTCTTTTCGCTGGATGGCACAGGTGGAAATACCAAGTGAGGCCAGGTAACTCTCCACCTGATACTTCCGACGAAGTAGAGGTCTTCCTCTTCCTCTGCATCTACCAACGGGTACTGCATCGAATACTTTCAAAGCTGAAATGTTTTCATCCATTCAGACGACAGAGCCGCTCGTTCACAAAACTTTTCTCTCGAAGACTCCTAAATAGACGAAGTTATCTACGACTTTAAAGTTATGACTGTCAACAGTGACGTGAGAGCCGAGTCGCTAAAGCGATGACTGTTTGTTTGATGACAGGAGATATTTCGTCTTGCCCTCATTCACTACCAGACCGATTCGCTTCGCTTCTTTATCAAGCCTGATGAAAGCACAACTCACGGCGGGGATGTTGAGGGCAACAATATCGATATAAGGGTTTCAAAAATTATTTCGGGCTCTGGCTTGCTTGAATAAATTTCAGCCGAGAGGCTCAATTTTCGACCACATTTTGCAGGAATAATGCACCGAATATTTTCTTCTTCTTTTCCCAGGCGTTAATCGTCTCTGCCTTATTTGCGTAGACAAAAAAAGTGCAGCGTTACTAAACCGCACGACCTTAGAGGCCATGTCACATACCCACGACGCGATAGAATGCGCTCATCAAAAGTTTCCTTTAATAAATTGATTGTTTCATTGGTCTGCAGCGGCGTCGTGTTGGAGCCAAAGGTCGTCAACATCAACATTCTCCAATTCACGCTCGTAAAAGCTATTAATCATGGCTCTATAGCATTCTCCATTGGCTGTAACATTATGGGCGGCTCCCATTTTGAAGAAATTTAGGGCAATGATTCCTTTGCCCATGGAGCATGCCAAATACTGACTTTTTCGGGATATTACGGCTTCTCAGCATTACTTTGTGGATTATCATCACTTCAAATGTGTCAATTTTGTTCGCGGAAGCAAAAAAGTTAGCTTCATCGCTGAACAAAATTATCTCACGAATATCGAGTGCGATGAAAATTTTGTTTTGGACCCATTCGACGAACGTGTAACGCGTCGCGACGTCTTTCAGCTTCAATTATGGACGATTATGTCAACCGAATGTTGACGCAAAGCGAACCGAACCATTATTTTGTACGATTTGCAGACGTTTTTCATTACCAAATGGTAAACCAAACTGAGTAAAAATCAAATTTCAGCTGCCAAAGCCCAAAAAATACATTTTGAATGAGAGCTCAGAAGAGAAATAGATGCAAATTTTGCGTCTAGAGTCTATAAGATCACTTTGTAGGGATACATACCTCATATGACGAGCCAACGTTTAGCGTTGTAAAAACCGGCAAATAAACTTTCGACACCACAACCGCCATCAAAACAATTGAAACCATAATTAACCAATATTGTGTGCCATAATTGTAGATCTCCGATGGTACGCCAAGCATTGTCACACCGGAAATGTAGCTATTTTTATATTGTATGTAAAAAAAAAAGCATGAAATGGAATTAAAAGAAAAGAGAAAATCTGTCTTCGGCCAATCCAAAGTCTTTATACCTTTCCTGAACTTACTAAATTTATTATGAATCTTGATTCAGCAAGATTTCTAGGGTACTTATTTGAATTTATTAGTGAAGAATCACAGATTTTTGACTCAAAACCCCAAAATTGGAAAAAATCGTTTGTATAAGGACTATATCTTTCAATTCTGGTCATTTTCGGTGACATTCTATATTTATAGATATAAATGTATAATATTGTAATAAATTTTATGCTTTTTGACGAAGTTTCGACACAAAATTTAATATCTGAACAAATCGGTCGTATATATAATATAGTGGTTAAAATATCTCTAAGACTAAGAGATGAGTTTGCGTACAAATAGACGGACATAACTAGATGAACTCAGCTCGGCATCCTGTTCCGATCGGTATCGATTTTGTTGGATCTATCTCTTCTGCTTCTAATACAACTTCGTACCAAATTTAATATATCATTTCATGTTCGTGAAAGGTATAAAAAATCATTTGAATATAAAAAAGCACATTTTGTTGTTATACTAACCTAGCAATAAGACTCATTGCCACTGGAAATACTTTCAATCGTCTAGAGCCCAATAAATATTCGTTCATTGCTTTAGAACCGAAATCTGGTTCTTTGTGTTTGTTCGTCTCCAAATTGATTGTAGGCTTAACTGGTTTAACATTCTTCCTAAAAACAAGAAGAAAACAAAAATCAAAATAAAATATAAGTCACTAAAATTATTTCGAATATCCCCACAATATACCTTATGTAACCGAAATAGATGCCCGTGCCTGTAGAAAGCAGCAGCATTGCCACGAATACACAATAATCGGCGATATAAAAATGAAATTGTGAATATTCGGCATAATTGTTGGACTGTAAATTATATAGAAATCGAAAGATTATTAAAAGTTATTAATTCTTTTTCAGTAACTCTCAGCTCCATTAATATTAACTAATACTAAGTATTCTCCGATAAAAGACCTTCGTGAGGCGCCTTAGTTTAGTAGGAATGGAACGTACATCTGATTATTTGATGCCCCAGTGTCCATGTAAAAAAATAAATTGCCAATTAATTTAATTTCATTATCAATTACTACTGTTCTTCATTATATTTATACAGTGACTCACACGTCTAACCGGCTGCGTACAATGTCAATGTTTACACTATCGAAACATAGAGTAAAATTATTAAGCGTGGTATATTTGATATATCAAATTAAAGGAAAATTCTTGTACTTCATTTTAGGAAACTTAAAAATAATAATAAATTATTTCACAGCGCAAAAATTAAAGAAATAATCCGTAATATATAAAATTTGTTTCACACAACTGATTGAACTTTTAGAAAACTAATGACTATTAATATTTTGTAGCATATTCTTTTGAAAATAAAACAGCTTCTAGTTTCCTTGGTATAAAGACAACAACTTTTTGACAAAATTCCGGTAGTATTGCATTCCAAACCGCCAAAATTGACATTTTGAGCTCAGCAATATTTGGAAGCGTCCTTTTGGGCACTTTTCGTCCGACTTCTTGCCACACGTGCTCAGTAACATTGAGATCTGGGGATTGGGTAGGTCTATCCAATAATGGGGACAATTGTATTGTATATTAACCAAGTGCGAGCAGTCTCTGATTTGTGTTTCGGATCTTTGATATGGTAAAATATAAAATTGGCCTTAATTTCCAAAGTGACACAAGACTACTTAACATTTTCCTTTAAAATGTCAACATATTAGAAACGAGCCATAATACCTTGCACAAAATGAAGTTTGCCTGCTCCTCAAAACCGTGCTTAAGTGTTGCCCTATTATGTTTTGGCAAGTAAGCCAGATAATCAAATAGCTGCAAGTTAAACTTGCTTTCGTCTGTGAAAAGAACCTTGATAAAGGAAAAGATATATTCTTATTGTCATTTACCCCTTGCCAATACTCGTTAGGTTTCTTTAAATGAAATTTCGAAAATTCTAGCCTTCTCTTCCTGTTTTTTCGGATATGAATGGCTTTTTTACAACAGCTCTACCGTGTAAATCGAAGCTTCAGAGTGTGTGACGAATTGTTTCAGCTGAAACTTTCTTCCCTTTCCATTATCTAATATAATTTAATATTTTCCGCAGAGGTAAAGAGATCTCTTTCAACAATTTTTCGTATAAACTTTTCTTCGCCTTGTGTTAACTTCTTTCCTTAACCAACTCTACTAATATTATTTATCCTATTTTCCTTCTCAAGCTTTTTTATAATATCAAAGTCAGTTGATGTACTCCTTTTTACGATTTCCGATATCTCGTTAAAGGTTTTTCCATTTTCCCGTATCTGAATAATTACTTTTCGAATTTCAGTACAAGTATGAGTGCCTGGAGGGGCCATATTGTGGTGTTACTTATTTACAGACTGACCAACAACTAATAGAACTCAAAAAATTATACTCAATGTTTAAACGAGTGAAGTTCCACAACAATCAAATTTCTTCTTGAAATTTTCCAGTTCAATAGTTGTGTGGAACGAATTTTTATGTTACATGTTATTTCTTTAATATTTGGGCTGTGAATTAATTTATTACTTGTTTTATATTTCCAAAAATAAAGTACAAAAATTTTCCTTTAATTTGGTGTACCAAATATACCACGCTTAATAATTTCACTCTGTGTTTGGATGGTGTCAACATCGGCATAGCACTCATCCGGTTAGACGTGTGAGTCACTATATGTATCATATATACATATGTAATTATTTATACGTTTTTATGTTCGCAGAATGGAATTGGTGGAATTAAAAAAAACCAAATTATTTTACCCTTTCAATATATTCACCTGCAAGACGGATGCATTTTTTAGATCTTTCAATGAAAATCATAAAAAAAATTACCTCCTTGACTTCATTGTCGGTGATACATTATTTTTTTATCCCTCAGCACTATTTTAATTTTCGAAAACTAGGTAATAATAACTCAGGGTTGGGTCTGGCTTGTATCGAAGCCCACCAAATGCAGGGCGGCCAACTCATAGGCTTCTTTAGACAGGCGGGTTGTCGTACAAAAACACCACACCTTACGAAAATTTTTCTATCTTTACTCTTTAACTGGTTCTTTAAGCCCTTCTAATATTGAAAAATAATCTTCACCTTTACCGTTAGTCGATCTATAATATTCCTTCCGGTCGCTAAAGACCGTTACTATGCGTTTTCCAGCTGACTGTAATACCTTAAACTTCTTGATCGTCTTCAAAGGATTTCCTTCCTTGTTTAAATAAACGGTGCATCTGTTTCTTGCTGATCTCCGGCATGCTGATTAGTGTAGCATAGTTTTTGTTCAGCTGACCGAATACCGATAGGAGTGCTTTAATCCATGACCAGCCAGCGCTGGTCGTTGAACGATGTTAATGCCGCTGTATAACGCGTACAATTCATCGTTTCATACCCTGTGATATTTCACCGTTGCCAAAGCTCGAAGGACTATAAATCATCTAGAAAACTCCTAATGCCGACATAATCAAAGTACTATTGGTAGGACGGGAATGATAAGCGACATGTCGAGAGGTCTTCAATTTTCAATGGCAGCTGTTGTCAAAAGTGATTTTTCGTTAGCTTTCCAGGCGGCGATTATAGCCGATTTACAACAGTGCGCCATTCGTTTCTTCTTTTTGCTGTTTGGCGCCAATTGAAAATACCAAGTACAGCCAGTTCCTTTTCTACCTGGTCTTTAAAACGGAGTGGAGGTCTTAGGCTTCCCCTGCTTCCACCGAAGTCGATCAGCCTCAACCCATTAGGAGATGTTTCGTTGTGAAGGCTGAATTGTCCAACAGTCGTACCAAGGATATCTTATTCGCCCATCCTGGCATTAAAATCGCCAAGCAAAATTGTCACATCGTGTCGGGGGCAGCGCTCGTAAGTATGCTCTAGGCGCTCATAAAAGGCATCTTTTGCCAAATCGTCTTTCTCTTCCGTTGGGGGGTGGGCGCAAATCAGCGATATGTTGAAAAATTTCGCTTTGATGCGGATTTTGTTGAGACGCTCATCCACCGGGGTGAATGCCAGTGCTTAGCGACGGAGTCTCTCTCCCACCACAAATCCAACACCAAATTTGCGCTCCTTAATACGTCACAAGAACTTACTCGCTTTCGTCCTTGTCCCGTCCATCGCACTTCTTGGACGGCGGTGATGTCAGCCTTTATTCTTACGAGGACATCAACCAGCTGGGCAGCGGCACCTTTCCAATTAAGGAACCGTATATTCTAGGTGCATGCCCTCAAATCGTGATCCTTGATTCATTTGCGGGGGTCGTCAAAAGAAAGAGGTTTTCTCATCCGAAGGGTTGTAAGATTTTTCATTGGAGCTGGTTTCTACATGGCGGGTCCCAAACCCAGCGCACAATCTCGCCAGGCGAGTAAGTTTAAAGTTTTTTTTACACATTTATATAGCGAGCCGCTTGCTTCAGCACCGGCGTCCGCTCACAGCCGCACGTCTGGTGAACTGACGCGGCAATCAGACTTCAGCAGACCCTTAAACCGAATAAGTCGGAGTGGCTCCACTGAAGCTTCCTCTCTCATTAATCTCTAGATATACGCAATTATCTACGGCTTCATAAACGCAATTATCTACGGCTTCAAAGTTATTATTGGTCGATAAAGAAAACATTTCTCCAGTCGTCTCAACTATAAGATATACAGAAGTCTGCTGAAAATGACAAACGTTTCTCGTATAATGAGGTCTGTGTGCTAGAAAAAACTTGCCGCTGAAAAGTGATTCCTCTCACCTTTAGAGATGTTCATACCATTTAGTGCGTTTTATAAAGCTCACGAGAATGTTAACTCTAGCTGATGCAAGTTCTCCAAGACCATAAAAGTAAAAAATAAACAATCTTACCAGGTACAGGTATAACCGTGGTTAAAACTCTTCTCTTTCTATCCAGCTCATCGACCTCGTAATTCCCTGGAATATCCCAAAGTTCTCTGCATCTTATTGCCATCGTAAAGCTGTCGCTAGTTCAACTTGATTCATTGCAGGGATCGAGAAGTCTCTTGCTCAAGTCGATAGTGGCCGGTTCTCAGTGAACTGCACAACACACCCTGTCGTCGTGTTTTAAGCCTTCTGTGCAGATATTTACCGATTTTTATATCTGTTATTGTTGACAAATTGTTATCGAAATAGAAACTGAGGTTGTGTAATCCACCGCTTTCAGTTTTCCGATACTGAGCGATATTTAACCCAATCTCAGAGTGAGTTTTTCAATAAAATTATGACGAAAATTGTACGGAGCTACAGGAAATTAAGAGAAATGTTGATTTTTCTTTTTCTAAATTAGAAATCTAAACTATCCCTGAGAGATTTTTTTTTTGTGTCTCAGCGATTGAAAATATCGCAGACAAAGAGTTGGCTAAAGATGTGTATATGAAATGGTAATAAATTGGGCAAACAATTCATACTTAGTAGAAGATTTTCCGGAAGGATCTTGGTTTACGCGCTTACAAAGTCGAACTCGAACGACTATCAAGCGCGTCCCACACAAACAAGATGTCCACCCACCAGCCCGATTTTCAAAAGAAAATTTTATTCACTGATGAAGCTCACTTTTGGTTGAATGAGTTCATTAATAAACCAAATATTCACATTTGGAGTGATAATAATACAAGGCATTGTTGAGACACCGATTCAATCGTCAAAAAGCTGCCCGTAATATACAGTCAATGGGGAACGTTATAGAGCCATAATTAATGACTTTTTCGTGCCTAAATTGGAGAATTGGTTGATGTGAAATAACTTTTGTGCCAACCAGACGGCGCAACATGCCATACAGCCAACCAAACAAAGCTTGTCTGCGAAGAAATTATTCGGCGCATTATTGTTGCAAAAAGTGGTCGAAAATACGACTACTCGGCTGGAATTCATTCAAAACAACTGCGGCGGTCATTTGCCCGAGTCATGTTTGAAACATAATGGCAAACCCTTAGCTTTATATAAGGTTGCCAAATATTTCCCTTCCGCTTTTTTTGTCTTTTGAATTTCGCGGCTATGTACAAAGCGCTACATAGCTCGTATATGGCAACACTATACATAATTTGAAAGGTCTTGACATAACCTGGAAATTGCGTTCAACAGTTATAGACGTGTAAACATGGAGTTCACTAACGCCGAAATTCGCGCTATTTTTTCCTTCGTTAAAGGCAAATCCGCTAGAGAAACGTTCTGTGAGATTAATGGTGTTTTGGGGCATGGTACTCTATCAATCCGAACCACGGAGGAATGGTTTCGACGATTCAGAGCCGGTGAAAACGACACAATGGATAAGCCAGCCGGCGGAAGACCTGTGACGACAAATACCGATCAAATCATGGAATACATCGAGTTAGACCGACATATAGCATCTCGTGACATCGCCCAGGAGATGGGAGTTAGTCACCAAACCATTTTGAACCATCTGCAGAAGGCTGGATACAAAAAAAAGTTTGATGTTTGGGTGCCGCATAATTTCACGTAAAAAAAACCATCTGGACCGAATCAACGCCTGCGATATGCTACTGAAACGGAACGAACTCGACCCATTCTTGAAGCGGATGGTGACTGGCGACGAAAAATGGATCACATATGACAATATCAAGCGAAAACGGTCGTGGTCGAAGGCCGGTGAATCGTCCCAAACATTGGCCAAGCCGGGATTGACGGCCAGGAAGGTTTTGCTGTGTGTTTGGTGGGATTGGAAGGTAATCGTCCACTATGAGCTGCTTCCATATGGCCAGACGCTTAATTCTACCATCTACTGCGAACAACTGGACCGCTTGAAGCAGGCGATCGACCAGAAGCGTCCAGAATTGGCCAACAGGAAGGGTGTAGTGTTCCACCAGGACAACGCCAGACCACACACTTCGTTGATGACTCGTCAGAAGCTACGGGAGCTCGGATGGGAGGTTTTATCGCATCCACCATATAGCCCGGACGTAGCGCCAAGTGATTACCACCTGTTCCTGTCCATGGCGAATGCCCTTGGTGGTGTGAAGTTGAACTCAAAAGATAGAACTCAAGAGAGAATTCTTCGCAAATAAGGAGGGGGGCTTCTACGAGGAAGGTATTGTGAAGTTGCCGTCTAGATGGAAACAGATCATCGAACAAAATGGCGCATATTTTAACTAAATCCGATTTTATAAAGCATTGAATGAAGAGCAAAAAAGCGGAAGATATTTGACAACCTTATATTAAAGCTATAATCTTGGCCATAAACTTAAATTAGACGCATTTATCTGTTTTTGATAATCATATGTCCCAAAAATACCCTTTATAATACCTTCTTTCTTTTTCATATCGCTACGAACTTTTGTGTGAGGTACATACATACATATACATATTGTACTTGTATATGCTAATTAAAAAAAAATATTGATTTTATAACGGCTGTTTTCGGTCTTATCACAATTTGCATCCACATATGTTTTACGCTCCGCTTAGAATCAGCCTTTCGATGTACGAGTATAGAAATCTTAGTAGTACCATTTAACGCGAGGTTTGATTTGGTCGCGCCTGTTTGCATACATACATATATTGAATTTAAACTTGCTCATTATAACGTTTACCGTAAAATAGTCATAAATTTTATCGCAGTCTACGGGTGTCCATAACCACACATGAACTGATTTGAAATCGAAAAAACTTATAATAAGAAATAAGAGATATGAGCTCGCGCCTGCTTATGTTGTTGTACAATTTCTTTATTCATAGAGATGAAAAAATTGCAAAAAAAAAAAAATTTAAAAATAACTATTTTGAAGTTGTTTGTGAAAATGGCAAAACAACTCGTTTTTGACAATTAAACTAAAATCAATCTTCTACAAGCGTATATACATATACATACATATGTACATACACGTATGTAGAACACTTTGATATTTTAATTGGCCCTGTTGGATGTTGTCTAACGGACTTTGATCTGTTCGCAGTCAAGCGAAGAAGGTATAATCAATTTACTTAGTTTCTATTGATTGTTATTTGCGTTTGTTGCTGGTAATATGCCGGCAGCAGACAAAGTTCAGACTTTGTACTAGCAAAATCGGATGGTCACTTGTGGAGGTCCACTTAATCTGAGTCCAACAGTGAAACTCTGTCCCTTTGAACTAATGAACTACTAAATACCTTGAACAAATGTTAAAAAATCATTTATGCGGTCTATTAATATGGGCTTTAAATCTCTCATGATCTTCAAGAAGTTTTTGGGCACTGCAAAAAATATTTATCTTCCCTCTGACGGGTGGACTACAGTAAATTCATTATTAAATCTTTATTGACGAATTTTATAACATTGCTGGCCTTGAAAGAAACTGAGTGGCTGTTCTTCTTCTTAATTGCCATGGGCACCGCATTTTCCTCCACTGTTTCCTCAGCCGGGTACAGTATCGAAAACAGCTCATCATTCCTTCGTCTACGGTATTCGCCGTCACTAGTGCATCTTCGAAAGTCTTTCGCAAAGAAACTGATGCATGCATCTGGTCAGCCATTGGCCGCCATATTTGAACTGATCAGCCGTAAGTCGTTGGCTCCCGCCCCATAGTTATAGTCTGGTAGAGGAACGTAATTACTTCATACTCATCTCTTTTTTGTCAGCATATCCATCTTACTTCTTTCTTTAACTCTTAAAGTCTTGTCGTGGTCGATTGCAACGTTACCAGATAGGAAGTCGTTTTTCTCCCCACTTCTGTTCGATATCCTTAATCGTACCAGCTCTTCTTCCGACGTTGTTGAAGTTGAAAACCGATTGCTTCTGTAGCGTTGGTACGTAGGGAGCATGAAAACACACTACCGCAACTTTATAGCTTATGCATGTTTTCAAGCGACTGGCTGTCTGTCGCGACAGCAACTTTTTGACGTCGAACCTTCTTTGTTTTTGCGACAAGATCATGATCCGAGTTAGTCCCGCGCAACGGACGCACATCTAGAACACTGGAGCCACATGATAGGTGAACAATATGATCGACTTGGTTCCGCTATTTTCGATCCTATGACGGCCATGTAACTTTAAGCCGGAATCTAGTGCTGCAGAAAACCATATATCGAGCAAAGGCGTAGGCGATCAGCCTTAACTCATTTGGGTATGCTTCGCAAAATTTTATCGACTATTCTGCTGAAAATTCCTTCTTTGTCCAACCTGGTGATAAACACCGATTTTGAAATCGCGACGGAGCAACACTTTGGTCACATAATCCTTCTCTTCCGTCGAAGTTTGGGTGTAAAGCCGGGAACCGATATATACGAAAAAGTCGCATATAAGATTGAATTCACTTGAAATTTCGTTCAAATTAACATGCACAGAATGGTTCTTAAAAATCTAATTTATGGTTCCATCTGCTTTTAATTCTTTTATTTTCTAGTGGTGCACATGGTTCGGTGTGCTTCCACTATTCTTCCTAAAATGACTAATTCTAAGGGAGCGTTATTTGACTAACACAATCCATTAGACGACAAAACGTGCATAGGGAAATGAAAGGTATATGCCCATTAATCCTACATAGTCAGCCTACGTTACGTGGCAAATCGTCTTTGTTGTTTGTTTTGCGCCGAAAAACTAATCGGATATTAACTACCTCATCGCTTTCAACATTACAGAAATATATGAATATCTATAACTTATTGTCGCTCTGGAGTTAACCCAAAGACATGGAATTGTGGCGAAGCGAAGTGCCGAGTCCGCTAATAGATATACTCGTATGTATATAATTGGCTTTTTGTGACCACTGATGCAGTTTTCGGCCTATCTTCGATACAATTTTTGGCTTTGGGTCTTAATGTTTTTCCAACAAATGGAAGGACCTACCGCATGGTCTGAGGATTTTTTACAAGGAGTCTTTATTTCATGTCATAAATATAATAATAGCTTTGTGACATTCCTTGCCGAGGGGCAACCCCAGTGAAAAAAACAATCAATCGAATTTTGACCTTCGAAATATTAGTACCCAATGCTAACCATTCGGCTTTTGCGTCTGCCAAACAAAACATAACTCACTTTTATTCTCTGTAAAACATTCATTTATACAAGGTAACATAGGGTTTTTTCATAAAGTGAATTCAAAATAAATTGATTTGGTTTTTGTAAAACATTCATAGTTTAAAATAGTTTTATTTTTTTATTTCTTTTTTACTTATATTATTTCTTTCTTTTTATATTATTTATAAAAGATTTCCTCAACTTTAGCCCTTTCTATAACACGTGATATTTTAGCTATTAAAAAAATTTTAATAGAAAAAGTGAAGCAAAAAACTAAAACACTCGTGCCATTTGTTGTTTGAATCTTATTATTATTATTATTTGTTTCGTTTTATTTTATTTTTACCTTGTCTGACATTTTGTTGTGATAACGTTGAACCACGAAACTTTTTTTTGCACTTGTTGTTTATTTTTTATTTTTGTACTTTTCTTTTATTTACTTTTTTTTTGTTCTTCACAATGCAGCTGAGCGATCGGGTGAAAAAGCGCGATTTAGTTTTTTTGTTTTTTGTTTTTGAATAAAATTACTTCGTTCGTTGCACTTAAACGCTAGCCAAAAGCTATTACATTTAAATATTTAGTTGCATGCAAATTAGTCAATATTACGTTGTTGTCGGCGCGCGAGTTTATAAATAATTCTGTTACAAACCAGTTTTATATAATCACTTAAAACTTTCTTCTGTTTTTGTTTCAATAATCACCGAGTTTTTAGAAAGCTATTTATTGCATTCAAATAAAAGTGCCGACAATGACGCTATTACACACTTCCTCATACACTCTTATATTTTTGCATTTACACCTATACACATGCATATATGTACAAATGTGGGAGCATAATTTTTTGGTTTTGAGAAAATCAGCCAACAGAGTCACTATACTCGTGCACAAACAACAACACGCAACACTTCCATACGAGTATACCATGCGCAAACCGATTGTGGTTTATTCTTGTTGTTTGATTTTTATTATTTTTGTTTTGCACTTTGGTTCGAAAAATTTTCCAATATTACGAATACCACGAAATAGCAGCAGACTTGTGTAGATGCAAATCAAATAAGACGAAAAAAAAACTGCAAAATAAGTCAAAAGTCAAAATAATTGTTGAAGGAAACTGTTGTTAGCGGATAGAAGGCGACGCGTGTGAGTCGAAGGTTGGGAGAAGACTACAACTGCTACGACGACGTGGAAAATAAATTGACTTCTGCTATAAGTAATAATAGAAGCGAGTTTGCCGCTCACTCACTACCTTCACGTTGGACGAATTGGAATAGCCACTCGCGTCAACAATTGAAATTATACTAAGCATATGGTGGGCCAAAGCCGGGCAAAGACCACAGTGAAATATTTCTGGTGCGAGAGAAAGAGTGTGAGAGAGAGAGTGAAAGTGTATAACCAAAGGTATCAAAGGCAAGGGCTAGCAGGGAGCAGGTTTTCCACTTTGGACCGTGTACCAATCGAGAGCACAATATAGTACGCTGTGTGTACATCTACATATTTTTTCAATTTTATAATAATATTAAAAATATTGAGAATAATTGCTATCGGTAAGTGTTAATTTTTTTTATCAAATCATTTGCTGAAAAGAAGTTCTCAATAATTAGCCATCACTGTAGTTAATAAATATAATATAAAAATTGCATTTACAGTAAAGCCAATTTAAGTAGGAAAAAAGTAATTGAGACTTAAGTAGTTTACTTTTCACTAATTACTATGTTTTCCAAAGCAGGTTAGTTATAGGTTAGTTGAAGTTATACTGCTGGCCTTACATAGGCCTAATGGTACCATATAGTGTCAGATGGATACTCAACTGAGGATGCCAACGTGTTTTATGAAATTTAAGAAATACTTCATATCTCATTTCAATATTTCCTGCGAGACGAGTTCTAGATAAGGCCGGACAGTAGCAGAGCAGATGCCCCAACGTCTCACTCATGGTTTTCGCACTGCACTTATACTACTAATGCTCATTATGCTCGTATGTTATGCTAGCAGGATGTCAACTGTCATTTGGTCAACAGCTATCCTGCAGTCTTTTTGAGATCATATAATCATATTATAGGTCTTGCATGACCTTAAGGCATTTCATCTAACACTGATTCAACCCTCCAAGCGTATTTCTGAAATAAAATAAATGCTCCTCATAAAAAAATATCTGCCGATCGGAAAAACATCAAGACGCAAAACCAAATATTGCAGGAGGAGCTCGGCCGAAAATCTCTTCAGCTGTTACAAAGCGCCAATTTATATACGAATATATACTTTAGCGACTCTCGTATCTCATGTACTAGCTGTTAGCTAGACGGATGGCACTATTAGCAATCGCATCAACTATTTCATTTCGCATAATACCCTTGTGTCCCGGAACCGAATATATGTGTATGTAGGTGAAGTCACATTATTAACTACTTCCCTGTTTCTAAAGACATTTTTTTACGTTATTTGTTGTGCGATTTTTGCTTTAATTATGTTCGGATATCGAAGTAAATGAAATTTTTTTATTTTCATTCCTTCATTGATAACTACCAGGCATATCCATAAAGTAAGTGTACAAAATTTTAGTAGGTTTTACAAATTTTTGCAGGGGTATCATTTCCCGCCAACTCTTCACCCACTTCTTTACCTCCCCGTCGGTTGAAATTTGTGGAAAAATCGCAGAAAGTTCATACATAGACATTCTGTGGCCGTCACGGAGCGTATTTTTGAATTTTCAGACGTTTCATCAGTCACAATTGAAGGTCTTACTTTCTTTTATTAATCTTGCAGAAAGGTACGGCCGTACTCACAACACCCCTTGTGCACAATCGCACGTTTCATAGCTTTGTCACCATATGTAGTTTTCAACTCATTAAAAACCTTAAAAGGGGGGTTTACCCTTCCAAACGAAAAAACTGATAACGTCGCATATTTCCCACTTGGCAGAGACTCATTTGATATTGTTCCTGAAACCTGAAGTCGCATCGACAGTTCTCAATGTATTAAACGCGATTTTGTCTCGTTCATGACGAAAAAAAAACCTCGAAAAGTATTTGTTAGACTCACTCCAATAAATTTAAAAATCTTATATTAAAATATAAGAAAATGTTCAAAAAGAAAGTAAATTTTTTTTTTAAATTCGAGCTCTGCCTAACCTGAGAAATAAATCTTGAGGTTTTCATTTTATGTATCAACATATTCTATTTTATTTTTTAATAATTCAGTGATTAAACAAACAATTTACATCTAAATTGTTTTTGGAATAATTCATATTTTTATTTGTATTGAAATAGAAATTTTAAAATCGAACTTTTTATTTCCTTTACGAAAACGATTTTTTGTTATTTTTGTTTGATGGCAATAACTAGCGCAATTTCCTGTGTATAGCGCCATCTAGCGAACTTTCAAAATAAAATAGTTTGAGAAAATGTACTGAACGTATTAAATTCAGACGGGAAGCGGAAGAGGAATAAACAGCAACGGAAGCCAAAAGGTATAATATTTTACGAACGGACTTATAATGATTTGATTAGTGCTGATGATTTCGCGAAATTCTGCTTAAAGGATATTAATTTAATGCGGTGCTGCTTTTTCTTTCCTCTCGTACTCATGACTTAAGTGTTTTAATCACATTTATTTTCCCATTTAAAAAACTACATTATAATTGAATAGTTTTCCTCATCAGTCGATCTTTCCTTTTTATGTAAAAAATGAGTTGATGTTCGCACATAAATACAGGGTCCGCCACGTAACTTTTTTTTTCTTAAATGCAATAAAACAAATGCCCATTTGGCAAAGGCAAACCGCATTGGATGGCCTCGTGGCTTCAATTCTTGAACCAATTGAACTTTGTACGGTGTCATACCAAGGTCTTTTTTCAAAATTCGCCTAAGGAACGTCTCGGAAATGTCCACTGATGTTCCGGGCGCCCCACACACACTCTCAGCCACAGCAGCGATATTACCGGCAGTACGCACTTTTTTTGGTTTCTCACGCGTTGGTTTATCAATAATTGTGCCGGTTTCTCTCAATAATTTCAAAAGAAAGCGCCCATACGGAGCGGACGGTGCTTTGTTACGGCTCATTTCCGTGCGTAATTTTCGCACACATTTTCAAAGTAAACCTGCACTATTTTAACGCGTTCATCAATCGTATACACAACCATTTTCGTTCAGCGGAAGGATAAAACTAACTTTCTGTCAAATCAGATGTAACATCAGTGTTACCACACTCAAAATAATCACTAGTTCCAAAAAAAAATCTTAGATGGCGGACCCTGTATGTAAGTCGCGTTAGACAAGGGTTGCCATTAGACGTGAGAAATATCTCTAGAAAACATCTTTTTTTTAAATATGTATGCACATTTGTTCTATTAATCAACCTGTATTTACCCTATAGTCAGGTACGGCTACTGTACATACAAGCATGCGAGCCATCGTGACTGGCACTTTTTTCTGCTTGCCTGCCGAAGGAAGTCGAAAATGATATAAATGCGCGAACTCAATTACAACAGCTCTGTTCGGCGAGAAGTGTCAGTAAGAATTACCCAGGAACGAAATTGTGTGAGTTGTTTGTTTTTACTTGCCCAACGAAAGAAATTTACGGAATTTTCAACGAACAGGATTCAGTTAAAATTAGGCATTTATTTTGGCGGTTACTTTTGAATCCTTTCATTTATATCGTTTCAAATATTTTCATAAGTATTTCAGAAAATCGGTAATTTTATGGTGTTTATAGTTTATTAATTATATTCAAATATTATTGTTATGGTGCAGTAACTAATTTTAAATGTTTCAGTAAATATTTGGTGTACAAACTAAATTCGACTACTTTTCCCCATGAGTTAACTCTGTCCTCAATTCCAACATTGAGCCATTCTGTGATTTCTTCTTAAGAAACAAACCGGTGACCCCCCTAAAACGTTTTGCATCCGCCGAAAAAATTAGAATCGGAAGAGCAAGATCTGAAAAATATGGCGGGTGGAAGGGCTCCCGCCTCAGCATTTCCTGCTGGTTTTTGACAGATTGCAAAATCACCTTATCATGCTTTTAAGATATTTCTGGCTGCCCCGTACGCACCACTCTCTGCATGACTTAACGATCGGCGATTGATTTAACTGCACTTTTCTTCCAATTAAAATTGAGAATCAATTCTTCCCGCAATCGCTCTATTTTTAAGACAAATTCGGACATTTTCGAGGAGGAAACACATTAATTATCGGTGACAGAAAGCTTGTAAAACCTTTTCAACGAAATAAAAGGTCGCTTACAAAATCGTTAATATTAGATTATTTTTTGATAATGAGAACAACTGAGAATATTGCTGCTGTGGACAATAATGACCAAACTCTACAAGTAGCTAATCATTCTCATCCTGCTCTATGATGCGAAGGCGGGGACGATGACAATATCTGATGAGTCGGGTATGGGAGTCTTCGAGAAAAAGTTTTGCTTAAGATTATCATAAGATATCATGTTGGAAGCGGCCAATACCACAGCTGACATTGAGATATTTCCAGGAATTAAGAGACAGCGGCTACGCTATCTAAGCTATCTACATCATTGGGTCTGTTTGGATAAGAATACTCAAGCTTTGAAAGTTTTCGGTGATGTAGCCGCCGGTGGAAATGAACGAAATCGGAAAACTTTATCATATAGACTCATCCAACGATTTTTACCATAAATACGATATAGTCATTAATGGCATAAAGATTTCTGGTCTAAGAGCTAACTACGGTGTGAAAGGGTAAAAGGTTTCATCATTTACAGAGATGTTTTTAATAGCAACGAGGAGATAATTAACGCGGTTAATGTTGAACTTCAGACGTTTAAGAATCAAGATTTTGAGGACTGTTTTCAGAGGTGGATCCTATAGGCTTAAGAAATGCTTTAAAGTCAATGGCGATTATGTAGAGAAGATAGGAAAGGACAAGAAAAATATCTTTTTTTTCTGGGCCCCTTACCGAACTTTTGTTAATCCCCACGTACATACATACGCACATATGGATGTGTGTACAATATTTATTTTCAAAACTAACCGAAATAGTTAGTCATCAAATTACAGTTACACTGCCGAATGAAGCCACCATTTGAGTCAGACTGGTTAAAAGTATGAAAGATATGCAAATATACCTATATATCGGTCGAGTAAAAAGTCATCCATTATTTTTCGCTTACATTCAAGACTTAATTTACCAGAATTATCCGATTTCAAATATTTGAAGGTTATGCCTCTCTTATAGGAACCCATATCCCTTATTGGCAAAAAATTGGCACATCGTTTTTCAGAGGCTTCTCTTGAAGTGAATTCTTTAAAAGTGAAATGAGTCGCTATAGCCAGGTACAGAGTCCGAACTATAAGATGGAAGCGTAAGCACCTCCCAACTACGTTCTTGCAGCTTCTGGCGAATCACTATCGCTGTGTGTGGTCTGGCGTTATCCTGATGAAATGCAATTCTTCTCCTATTGGCCAAAGTTGGGCGATTGCTATCTAAAGAGGGACGAATTGAGAGTTTGGCCATCAATCAACAAGTAAACCAATCTAATCGTAGTATTGAAAATCCATTCAACAGTAGCCTGTTTCATTCCTGTCGTTATGTTAATGGCGACCTCGGTAGCCGAGTGGTTAGCATGGCTTCAAATCCTGGTACGACCAACATTCAATAGTTATAGAAAATGAATGATTTCATTAGCAATCATTTATTGTGCCAATCGTGAGCCTCCGTCAAATTTTTGACTTCACCAAAGCTAGAGTGGCGTTATCAGACGAAGATTTTGGTCAACCTTCTCGGGGCTCGTGCTCTACGTTAAAATGTCATAAACCACTTAAAAATAGTTTTTAAAGACGCTGACATAGTTCCTTATGCAATGTGGCATTCACTGAATATTTGTATTGACTGTAAATTACGCCGAAACCCGAAGAGAATCACATGGGATTTTCTGTTTGTGTTTTGGTGCTGGAATTTCGTCTGAGCTATCCTCAGCTATCTTGCGTTTTCTCTTCTCCATTTTTGACGATCGTTCTTAAACTTTAAAGGACGACTAATAAGGCAATCGCAAAGGATTTGGTATTTTTTAGATTTAACAAAAACAAATTGGAATCCCCTCGTACTAACTCAATTCCAGCATGCCTAGTAGCAATATCAACATTCATTCGCTCAGTATCACAATGCCTTCGGCAAATTATAAAAATCTACAATAAACAAATAAACTTATTTATTTTGGTATGAATATTATATAAATAAATTGTGAAAGATATATTAAAATAATTAAAAATCGAAAATAAATTGTTTTATGGTGCTTTCATTTAATGATTTTAATAGTCTTTATATAATGATTTATGCAGTTCCTACATTGTTCCTTATATATAGCATTTGAAATTTCTTTTTTCAGTCCTTCAATTTTAATTTTATAAATGCTTAAAGATTCCGTCACACGAATCCTTTATATATTAGCTTATATTGTACATTCCGTATTAAAAAAGGATACGAGTGAGAAACACATAGTGCATTCATATCGAACTAGTCCATACGAAAGTGTGAGTAAAAAACTCACACATTCTGTAAGTGTGCCTCAGTTTTCCCCCAAAAGTCTGTACAACAAAAAGGGGAAGTTTTTCGATTTATAATGGATAACATCTCTTAGTCATATGGTTTTTATAGGGGTTTATATAAGCCATACTGTTCTTGCAGGGTAGTGAATCTCTTGGCATGTAACCAAAAAAAAAATCCCCACTTTAAGTTTCACCAGATAAATTAAACAAAATTTAGTTGGGCAACACTAACATCTGACTTTTGTTATGAAGATTTTTTTTATCAAGTTATTTGTAGAAATCTAGAAATCAAAAAGGCACTATTTGTCTACAACGAAATTTTAACGTTCAAAATTTTCCATTGCTAATGATAAAACATTAAAATTATTTTGGCTTCATCTAAATCAACGAAAATGTCAGCTGGTGCTAAAATTGCTTTGGCACTGTCGATTGGATTTTCCGCTAGCGTTATTGGTTATGTACATTATAAACAAAGTTCCGACCGGTAAGATCAATGATACAGTTTTGTTTTGTGAAAATCAATTTCACCTATTGAATTTTCTTATTCACGTAGCGCACGCCTACATGATGGAGTCGTTCGAGATATTGAACGACAACAACGTCGCAAGACAGAGAACACCTACCTGCTTCAAAAACAAATTGACCTTACAAAACAACTTAAGGATATGGAAAGTTCCGAAAAGCAGACTGAGATTAATCACAAGTCAAATATTCAATGAAAAAAAGCATATAACAATAAAACTTGAAAATTAGTCATAATGAAAAGCCTTCATAGTTTATAATTGTTTTATTAGAATGGTTGAAACTTTTAAATTTATTAAAATGTCTCAATAGGTGATTTATTTCCTTTTGATTAATGATCAAAATGCATACATTGGGTGAAGTAGTTTGAAATACACGGTATATTTCATAATCAAATACAAATTAAAAGCTGAGGGTCTAATTTTTTCAAAGTTACGCAGTTACAAACGAATGGATTGAAAGCCGCCAGTACTGTAGAATAGTGGTATATGTCTTTGTCACATCCATTCAGTATCGTCCTTTGCGACCATCGCCGCCTCCTCCGCCACCGCCACCTCCTCGGCCTTCCCGACTGCGTGAACGGCGGCGATCACGAGATCGAGAACGACGGCGACGTGGTGAACGAGAGCGGGAACGAGATCGGCGGCGTCGAGAATAGAGGTATCTGTTAAAACAAATATTTTTATTTTAAATAAATATGAAATGCAACCACATTCTTCGAAATTTTCAAATCTAACCTTCGTAATTCCCTTGAAATTGGTTTCAGGTGCATGAAATTGCAGAAACCAGATCGCGTACATTCACCCATTTCATATTGTCGGCAACAAGCTTCACGAAAATCGGTTACAGGCGATAATTCGGAGTAAACTGGACGTCCACCAAACCAACGGTTATTCAAATCATTTGCGGCTTTTTCAGCATCTTGCTCGTGACGAAATTTAATATAAACGTTTCCTACTAGGTGATCTCCTAAGTTGTCGCATACGTTCATCTCTTCAATTTCACCGTACTTATCTTCACATTCAACAAAAACATCCTCAAAAAAGTTATCGTAATGTTCCTGCATCTCCTCGTCGGAAACATTGGCTACCAAATGGGAGCCATCCGCTGACTTTGCAGAGTTTTGGGGATTCACGTACAGATTTTGTAGGAGCACAGTTTGCGAAAATGTTGGTTTATTGTGTATTCGCGAACAACGATCACCATGACGACATGCACCAATTTTGAAGTAAAATGAACAGTTTACTCTAAATAGAGAAAAAATATTTATACATAAAAAATATATTATTTTTAAACTTTCGTGCTGATATACTTACTTGTCTTTCTCGGTGCCAAAAATGGACGCCAAATATTCAGCCATATTTGTCCCTCCTCAACTAAATATGCTTTGAGCCGTCTGTTTCTATTAAACTTTTATTAAAAATGTAAGCTATATTTTTACAGATTTATACGTGTTTGAAAGTATTATTTTACATCAAAACACGCATTCACCAACATTAGAAAAAAAAGTAAAATACTTTTCACCGCTTTTTCGGCATTTGACAAATGTCATTTTGCTTATCCCACTATCGAAAACACATTCCGAGGTTGGTAATATTGTACGCTTATAGACTTGCCAGCACGCATTGTCAACAAATGTGTTCTTACAAGAAGTAAAATAGCTTCACGAAATGAGTTTGCCGGTTTCAATTTTTTTGCTGACAAATGTAACGGAGGATTGTTTTCAGTTTTGTTTGTTTTTAATGAGAGTTTCAAAACCGAAATTCAAACACTATTCCTCAAATAGGGACATCTTTTTCGAAATAGCAACGCCTGTAGGAATGATAACAAATATTGTTGAGAACAGGAAATCGTTTCTCATGCAGAAAACTTATTTTAAACCACAATTCTGATTTTGAGTGACTTCTTCTTCGCAGAATTTGAAATTGACACCAAAATAAATGATGTTGTTCCGCTCAAGATTTTTCCTATGCAACTTAATTGTTGTTGTTTGTTGCAATCTTCTATCAGATTTATGTTTTAATGAAGCAAACATGCCTGGTTGAAGATATTTTACAACAAAGTGCAAATCAAATTGCTTCCTATTATCTGTCAAAATGACAACAATAAAAATTACTATTACTTATCCCCTGCGGGTTAGGGGTTCAAGAATTTACCCGCGGTAAGGTATGCATGAGGTAAGAGGAGACTAAACTTCAATAGTTCCCGCGACTGTCGGGTCATTATACCGGAATGACCCGGGTTTTTATCCGGCCACCTTAATTTTAAACTAATACATATTTAAAGTAGTGTGCTCAACATACGATTTTCGAATTAGTTTAATAGTATGACGTCACAAAAAGCACAACTCGTCAAACTATGCGCTACTTTATAACATGTAATGAATAGCAACATTGTTCTTTTGAAAAATGTTGCAACTCTACCAAAATCTTTTCGGTTGTCATTCATTTGGTGAGTTTCTTTTAACTTCTAGAAGACTCCTAAGTTCATATTCGTAGAATTACAAAAAAAATTTCGAAAGCAGAAAACAGCACGTTTTCCAGATCAAATATTAATTTGTCTAAAACAAAATAATTTTTTTTTGTTATTTCAACTTTAAATAAAGTTTTATATACATATAATCAAGAAAAATGGAAAAGGTGACAAAATTGCTTGTAGAAAAATGTTCTTAAACTTGAATTTAATCTGGCGTGTTCTGTTCTGGCTCTTTATTTTAGGTGAATGAACTTAAAGAAAAGGGAAATCGAGCACTGAGTGCAGAGAATTATGATGAAGCTATTGCAGCTTACACGGAAGCTATTGGTTTAGATGATAAAAATCATGTTTTGTATAGTAATCGATCCGCTGCATATGCAAAGGCCGGCAAATACGATAAAGCCTTAGAAGACGCAGAAAAAACAATAGCCTTAAATCCGACTTGGCCAAAAGGATATTCACGTAAGGGAGCGGCAGCCGCAGGATTGAAAAATTATCGGGCCGCTATGGAAGCTTATGATGAAGGTTAGTGTGTGTATGATTCATTATGTCAAAGTCAGGTGTCTAATGTGGGGGGGCGAGATATAAAATAAAAACAGCTGTCGTTTATTCCAGAGAGTTCTAAAAAATAAATGAGTAATTTTTACAATAGGTTTAAAATACGATCCCCAGAATGCCGTATTGCAACAAGGTATTCAGGAAGTCACTGCCACTGTAATCCAGGCTATGTCAGGCCGTTTTCCTACGCCAATGGATGTGGATTCTCAATCGCCGCCTACTAAAGCAAGTGAGCCAAAGAAGGCCGAACCACCAAAGCCTGCTGAGCCAAAAGTTGATGAAATGAATGAAGAAGAACGCAAAAAGTATTTCGCAAAGAAGGAAAAGGACGCTGGTAATAATGCCTACAAGAAGAAAGATTTCGAGACGGCACTGAAACATTACCATGCGGCATTGGAACATGATCCGACAGATATAACTTTTCACAATAATATTGCTGCCGTTTATTTTGAACAAAAACAATACGATGATTGTATAAAAGAGTGCGAGAAAGGTATTGAAGTAGGCCGAGAAAATCGTGCAGATTTCAAGCTGATTGCAAAAGCTCTAGCGCGTATAGGAAACTCTTATCGTAAAATGGAAGATTATAAACAAGCAAAAGTTTACTTTGAAAAAGCGATGTCCGAGCATCGTACGCCTGAAATTAAGACTTCGCTTAGTGAAGTAGAGGCTAAGATAAAAGAAGAAGAAAGGCGTGCATATATTAATCCGGAATTAGCTGAAGTTGAAAAAGAGAAGGGCAATGAATTGTTTAAAAAGGGTGACTATAGCAATGCGGTAAAACATTATTCGGAAGCAATCAAACGCAATCCTGATGATCCCAAATTGTACAGTAATCGGGCTGCATGTTACACTAAGTTAGCCGCCTTTGATCTGGGTCTAAAGGACTGCGAAACTTGCATCAATTTGGATGATAAGTTCATTAAAGGTTACATTCGAAAGGGAAAAATTTTGCAGGTTGGTATGAAGGTATGGTTTAGTAAAAATTATTCTTTTCAACGTTTTTTTTTTCTCTTTCGTTTTGTTAAGGGTATGCAAAAATCGTCGAAGGCATCAGCTGCTTACCTTAAAGCCTTGGAAATTGACCCTCAAAATGCCGAAGCACTTGAAGGCTACCGTCAGTGTTCCATTTCATATCAGCGCAGTCCCGAGGATGTGATGAAGAATGCCTTAGGTGATCCGGAAGTACAACAAATACTGAAGGATCCTGCAATGCGTGTTATTCTGGATCAAATGCAGACTGATCCCAAGGCGGCTAAAGAGTAAATTAAACAATTATTACCACATTTGTGTCCTGATATGTTACTAACTTATACATTTATTTTCAGTCATCTCCAAAACCCGGCGATAGCTGACAAAATTATGAAGCTTATTGAGGCAGGAATCGTACAAATTCATTAAAATTCTTCCTTCCCCATAAGGATAAAATAAAGTTATAGACAGGACAGAAGTTAACGTATGGAATTGCGTGAGTTTAAGTAATTTCAACAATAAAAAAAGCTACGCATTTCTACATCATCCTCTTAACATTTAAATAACAAAGATGTATGAAAACAAGAATGGTATAGCACATGAAAAGTATTTCGCTGGATATCTAAAGCTTTTCATCAATTCAAAAAGTAATGTTTAAAAATTATATGCAGAGCTAGAATTATTTTTAATATGGCGTATGTGGTTTATATTCGTTTTCCTACCGTATAAAAAGTAGTCGTTTAGTTTAACTTAAGTATGTATTTGAGCTAAAATGTAATTTCTTTACTTGAAATAAATACACACGATAAAAACTGTATGTTAGCGCTTTCGCGAGGGCAAAATAAAAATAAAACTGAATTTAAAAGCTGACTAATATATTTAACTTTGGAGATCTACTTTGTGTATATTTTATTTATAGCTGATTATCAGTTTTCCGACGTCTTTCAGACGTACTAAAAGTTTAAGAAAAAATTTAAATGGAAGTGGAGTCACTTCCCGCAGCTACTTGAAATTTAGTTACTAATGATGTCAGCATTGTCATTGACCTTCATTTCCAATGCTTTTTGGGAAAGCAATGGTATTTTAGCCTTTCAAGCCCACGTATTAACTGTTTTTCTTGAACCTTATAAACATAGGGCCTTATATAAATGTTTTTTGTCCGCTTGAAGAACGTTAAGGTAATAACCCTTTACTGGAAATCAGCTTTAAGCCAGGACAAGCCATTCCGCTGAAGCGGTTTTCAGAACGAGCTCCTCCTGCAATTTAGGGGTGTGTTTTGCTGTTCTTCCAACAAATGGATGTATCTATAGTTCATTTTAAGCCACTTCCGAATAGTTAAAGGATTTGTATGAGAAGCGTCTTATCATAGAAATTCACTCGCAAGGTTTGGCATTCCCTGCAGAAAAAAATCTATATTTTTGGATGTTGGTCGCACCGGGACTTAAATTCTAGCCTTCCGAATTGTGTTAAGCAATGTTCGGCGTTCGCCATTATGCTAAAGTGGAATTCGTAAAGGGCGCACATATAAGACTTGTATGAGTTTATTGCTTAGGTTATAAAGGAATTATAGGGATTATGTACGAAGTAAGTTTGAGCAAATTTATTTTTAGTAATAGCTTATAGGATAAGTTGGAAATCTTTAAATTAACAACTTACCTTGGTTGCGAATATAAAAACATTACAATCTTAATTTTAGCTAAAGAAAATACTTGTTTTCATCACAGTTGTCAAACCCAACACTTCACCCTTGTCGAGCTCAACACTTCACGCATCCTAAAAATAAAATAAAACTTTCACTAAACGAGTTTGAAATTTTCCTGAAAATTAAATTTTAAAACTCTGATGTTTAAGATAACGTAAAAATCGATAAGCATAAATCGTTTTGAAATTTCATAATCATGGTTTTTGATAAGATTATTAATCGGTTTGGTGTATAATCGGCATCGATTTTACCATCAATAAATAAAACCATAAAAAAGTGACGAAAGTATTAAAAAAGTTGGGAAAAGTATTTATTAATTTCGTAAAATAATGGCGTTATATAGTAATAAATATTTGTCACTTACATTTTGTCTGGTAATTGGTTTCATATTGGTGGGAAACAATTTTGGAGCAGATGCTGAAAAAGAAATTCCAGCAACGAAATTTGGACAAAATGTTGGAGGACCGACAATGACATTTCTTTACTGGTAATGATAGCACATTGTTTAACCTCTAGAAACCTTTGCTCTTTGATATTTTGTGCATTTAAATACATGTATATATTGTAATATTAATTGTGTATAATAAATTTATTGCAGCTACTCCTGTGGCTATCGTAAGGCTTTCGAGGATTACGTTAACATTTTATCCGAAAGGTATCCACAAATTACTGTATCGGGAGCCAACTACGATCCGCCTGGCTTCAATATGTACTTTTCGCGCATTGTATTTGCAGCCAAAATACTTTTCATTGTTGTGATCGTATCTTCATTTGACGTATTCGGTGTCTTTGGACAACAAATACCTAGTTGGTGGCAACATTTGTTGGACAATAAGTTGTATGCTTGTATGATGGTTTTTTTCGTTGGAAATATGCTTGAGGGACAGGTAATAATAAAATATTACTTACAGCAATACAAATCAGTTGATTTGAAATACTGCTATCGTGATAAATAATTGATTATAGAAACGACAATAAATCATTTTATTTACAGCTGGTCGCTTCCGGCGCCTTTGAAATAACACTTAATGATGTGCCGGTATGGTCGAAACTGCAAACTGGCCGCATTCCTGCACCTCAAGAGCTATTTCAAATCATAGATAATCAACTACAATTCACAGAAACTATTCAAGAGAATCCAGACTTTGTTAAATAATAATAAGACCCATTTATATAAATACATTCATATGTTCTACACATAAACTTAGCTCAACTATGGGAATTACTATGTAGCCAATGTACTAATGTTGAAAACAGTTTCTATAATTGTGTATATAAGATTGTGATTGAGTGCCGTAAAATTTAATATTACTAATCATTTAGGCCAAAATTGGGTGGATAACTTAGAATAAAAACAAGAAGTGTTCTGAGGTCACAACTTAAACGCATTGGCTTAATTTAAGTATAGATGTCCTATTTGTTTGTTTTTAAGTTAAAATAGTTTATCTGAATTTAATTATTTTCTGAGTTTTGAGAGACCAGGTGAAGAGTCAACAAAATTTATAAGCATTATAATAAAATTAAAAGACCAATAATTTTAATTAATTTTTTTTTTCACTTTTAGATATTTTTTTGATTTGAGAAACTGGTGTATTAATTATTTTTAAGTCTAAGAAGGTGTGATTAAGCTTTGGCAGGTTCAAAAAGTTCGAGAACCATTTTAGCCGATTTTTCATACAGCATCTGTTGATAGATGGACAAGTGATTCGTTGTTTGCGTTAAACGCCAAACATCAGCGGGTCGCTTGTTTTCACCTGGAAAGATATCCAGGGGCCGTCCAGCAGAATCTGACTTCCATCGCTCTATTTTTAACTCACGGGTGTAAACGTAACATGGATCGATTTGTCTTCTTTCTCGTAGTAGTAAAGATTCTATACACAGCGATATTTTATGCAGCTTCTGATAGTAATACATTAGCATAAGCTCACCTAACGAACAAAACTGATTACTAAAATGGGGTCGAGCTGCATCGAGACAAAACTGTAATACTGGCTCAAAGATTTGAATATTGCAGTCGACTTAATTCCGATTTTGCAGACTTCACCCAGCATACTCAACGTATGTCCTGCTTGGAAAGGGCTGCTGAAAATGCTAACCCCTTAAATTTTTGACAGTATTTAGCCGGACTCTAGGCAGCTCGAGATCTTCGTTTGCAACTGGTGGTCACACAATTCACTGGAAGAGAGTTCAGCAAGGTATTGACGGCCTTTTTGAGACTGGCGATTAATGCCTGTCGGTAAACTGTCCTGTCTAGCGGTTTTTGTTTGTGGTGCTGAATGGAGTTCTAAGGTCGAGTACTCCCTGGATGGGGGTTCGACTTCTGGTAAATGTCTGTTTGCCTGCTTCTTACGGTAGCATGCTTGCACGGGAAGCAATATTCTGTTGTCGCCACAGCATCACTTGCACAGCGATGCAGCTACAAGTGACGCATTGGCGACATAAGAAAGTATCCTGTCACGATCCTGAGGGCAGTGTTTTGCCAGGCTTATATCTGAAGACATCTGCGTCTCGCATTGTACGTTGCCAGCAACGTTTCTTTGTCCTTTTCCCACTTGCAGCCAGCTAATGCTTTTGAGGATTTTGTCACGGCAATTGCAGTCGTATGCAGAATGAAGGAGTGCAGTTTGTCGAATGTGACTCCTATCAACTTTGTGTTGCTTATAGTCAGAAGTTTTACGCCATCGACTTTCACATCGAGTTCAAGCCGGTACTCCTTCTTCCAGCGGAGGGTAGCGGAGTTTGCTGTCGTCCTAATGAGCATTTCTGTATATTATATATGAATAGTAGCAGTGAAAGATTGACAGTGTTGTTGTTGTTGTTGTTGTTGTTGTAACCTCAAAATTATTCCCCAAAGTACTTTTTGGGGAATGTTGCGGGAGTGACAGTCCTTGGCAGGATAAAAATCCGGGTCGTTCCGGTATAAAGACCCGACTGTCGCGGGAACTATTGGATTTTAGTCGCCTCTTACGACAGGCATGCCTTACCGCGGGTAAATTCTTGAGCCCCTAACCCGCAGTGTCATATGCTTTTGTTATCAGGATAGTTGCCATGGTTTTAGTAGCGGGTCCAATGTACCTATTTTCCATATGTCGGGTATTTTTAGGGTGAGAAAAATTGAGTACCTTGGTACGAAAGTCATGCATGCTTATTCCATTGGGACCAATGGATTTCAAGCGACGCGCTGGTGTTTGGTAGGTTGCATAGGCGGCGGGTCACTTGTCCCTTCATTTTGTCTAGTGCAGAGCGCAGTGTAAAAAACCGGCTAAAATAGCACGCGCATCTCCGAACCGAATGAAATTTCCACCCAGTCATCGCGTAGAGTTTGACAACGATTTGATTGTGGCTAAGAGCTTGGCTGCCCCAGAGGAGAGGCTGCAGGAACTTAAGTGCTCTATTATTGGCGCATAGTAACCGCTTAACCGATTTTCCGGCGAACTCCTCTTCCAATTTGTGGTTTGCGTCTTGATGTTTTCCCAACAAACGAGATCCCTCCAGCCATTCAGTTTATACTAAGCCGCCTCCGAACGGCTGAAGTTTTTTTTTTTTATGAGGTGTCTTTGTTTCATGTCAGAAATACACTCAGAGTGCTTGACATTCCCTGTCGAGGGTCGACCGCAATAAGGAAATTTTTGATATATTGGTCGGACTAGAAATCAAGCCCTGATCTTCCGAATGGCAGTACGCAATGCTAGCCATTCTATTCCGCTTATTTATGTCAACTTGACGCCGAATCTCCTTATTGAGATCTTTGATGGGGGCTTTCTGCGATCGACGTGACGAATAGAGTCGCGTCTGTATGCAAGAACTGCCGCTTCGTCGGGAAATTCGTGCGGATTTCCGCGATTCGACCTGCAGGGATGAAACGGACGGCAGCGGACCCATGCTTAAGAGTCGCCAACAGCTTTGAGCCTAATACGCTGATATCTCGAAAACATTAAAACCAATGGGTTCACAGTTTTTTGTATTAATTTTTATATTATTTCATCGTTACTATTATTAACATTAGCATATTTATGCTGTACATATGTATATACGTAATAGTTAAGTTAAATTATTTTGGCTCACATTTGGTTTCATTTCCATATCAACTAAAATAAAACAAAATTTTAATATTTTTTTATACTAACATAACTATTAACGCAACTGGGCAGTATTTGGTGTACGAAATGGAGTTTTAAATTTTAATTTTTTTTTTTAGCATTATTTTCCTTTGTTGAAATTACCGTAAATTTTTAGGTTATAAACGAAATCTACAATCGTTCGTAGAACAGAGTTTATAAAGAGAAGTAAAAAAAAAAATATTCCTACGGTTTTTACAAAATTTTCACGATTCGTCGTAATGGCACACAGTAATGGCGCGTGCTTTGCTAACGAGCGAGAGAGTCACACACGCCCACGCCATTTCATTAGTTTTCATTTCTGATTTTGTTGTTATTAATATTAAAGCAATATATATTTTTAATTATAACATTAAGCTTCTAACTATTTGGATTTATAAGAGGTTTGTGGTCCAATTATTGCTGATTTACGGCGCATAAGTATCTTCACGTGGACGTCGTATGCGACTTGCCCGATTATAGTCGGTTATTTGGCCGCCATGTGAGTAGGAACGGCCGCCCGGTACCGGACGTCGGTTGATCGGCCGATAATAAGTGTTCGATGCTGGTCGTGTGCGTATGGGTAACGGTGCTATTACGCGTGGCTCAGGCGCGAAACGTACCGGACCGCTGCGGAACTCAGTGGCGGGCACTTGCACTGAGTATGCACGTCTTAGATAAGATTCGTTCTTGCGACGGCAAACAGTACAACTATAAAGGTATTGAAAAATAATGTAATATGTATATGTATGTACATAAAGTGAATTGTTTTCATTATGCTTAAGTGTCATGATGTGTACTCACCGGCTCACTTTGCTTGTTTGATCAGCCTTTAGTGTCTGTGGCTTGGGTTGCAGCCACTGTTCGTGTTCTTCGATTACTGCCAACCAGAAGGATGCGAGTGGGTCGTAATAGCTACAACGGCCATGACCATGACACTCAATAACCGGATTCGTACGGAAGTTTTCTAAGCATGAGCCGGGCGATACCAAACTCTGTCCAATACCGCCAGTATTATCAGTTGTAGTCTATGCGAAATACAGGCAGAAAATATTTTGTGAGTCACCGAGTTTTTAAGATATTATTCCATTTACCCACCATCAAATAACTGTAACCGGTCCACATTTCCTCCCAACCATTCGGACAGTCTGGTATGCTCATGCTCTGACTGTGCAATGCAATTATACGCGTTGTCGTCTCGCAGACTACACAACTGTATGGGAAAATAAATGGCATAAATGCATTTGTTGGAATACGAAATTTTTTTTTGTTTTTAATATTTACTAACCGTGATATGAATTTCATTAAGTCAAAGGATTGTATTGGCGCCATGTTCATTGGCATTGGTTCCGCCGTAGATAGCCATAAGCTGTCATCATTGTTTTGAGCGTAATTACACACATTGTTTACATCACAGAACATGTATGGCATTGTTGAGAAACGCATCATACATGAACCAGACAAACCAAGATCCTGTCCAACTGTCATACTGCTGCCGATATTACCAGCTAGAGAGTAACCTTCCCATAAAAGATTTGTATTGGCTGGACATTCTGGTATGGCTACCGATTGTGAGTGGCGAGTAAATACAAAACCACGACTCTTTGGCAGTGGTGGAGGTGGAGCAGGTTCGCCTACAGGACCTTGTGGGCCAGGATATCCTTGAAGACCGGGTGGACCTTCAAATCCGGGCATACCGCGCTCTCCTTTCGGACCATCCGGACCCATATTACCCATGTAACCTTGATCACCCTGGTAACCCTTTTGACCTCGAAGTCCGATGCTTCCGGTTTCGCCAACTTCACCGATGTCACCCATTTCACCCTTAAAACCATCAATGCCAGGTTCACCGCGATCGCCAGGACGAGCAAAACTAAAATCATATGTTACGCCACGTTCACCTTTTACACCTTCCAGGCCATTTAAACCGTCAACACCACTCCAACCAACATCACCTAATGGACCACGTGGACCTGGGAAACCTCTTGGGCCAGGGCGTCCTTGGAATCCTTGTTCACCTTGCTCGCCCTTTAGTCCATCATAACCGGTTGCTCCCATTGGACCGATGTCGCCCACATCACCGGATCTGCCATGAATAGCAAAGCCTGGCTCACCTCGTTCGCCTTGAAAACCAATATCACCACGTTCTCCTTTTAGGCCTACACGGCCGTGCAATCCATTACGACCTGGTGGACCTGTGTAACCAACGTCACCAAATTGTCCCTTTGGTCCGCTAATCTTAACGCCTGGAAGACCGATTAAACCATTTTCGCCATATTCTCCTTGTTCACCAGGTGCTCCTTTGGGACCCAGTCTTCCTGGACGACCCGGGAAGCCATCATAGCCTGGTTCACCCTCGTCACCATTCTCGATGAATGAAGCAATTGGACCGGTTTGACCAGGACACCCTTTTGCTCCGGTTTCTCCATTTACACCGGGACTACCATCTACACCAGGAAGTCCAGCATAACCAATGTCGCCACGTTCGCCTTTAAAACCAGGAAAACCGGGAGCACCATCTGGACCATGTTCACCAATTGGACCTTGTTCACCTTGAAAACCTTGTTCGCCTTTATCACCACGTTCTGCGAAACCACGTAGTAGTACACCAGGACGTCCTGGGTATCCTTGCTCACCACGTTCACCTTGAGCTCCTACAGATCCAGGTGCACCTACATCACCTTGATCTCCCGTAAGACCAGTTAGTCCAGGGTATCCTTCCTCCCCGGAGTCACCCTTCTCTCCACTTAATCCTATCATTCCAATAGACCCAGGCACACCCTTTCTTCCCGGAACTCCATTTCGGCCACGATATCCAGTTAATCCAACATCTCCTCTGTCACCTTGTTCTCCAGCAAGGCCGGTTAATCCGTAGTCTCCTTGTTCACCTTTAAGTCCGGGCAAACCATTCAAACCGTAACTGCCTGGTACACCAGTTTCTCCTTTTTCTCCTTCCAATCCATCTAGCGCGATTGGTGTGTCGCCAACAGGACCTCGTTGACCTTTGGGTCCGGGTAATCCGTCGTAGCCACGATTTCCAGTCAAACCTGGCTCACCCATTTCACCCTTTATTCCAGAGTAAGCTGCATTACCTTTTGGACCTGGGCGACCAACTATACCACGTTCACCCATTGCGCCTTTCCGACCGGGGATACCTGGGACTCCTGCACGACCAATCGAACCAACATCGCCAGACTGACCTAAAAGTATATAACAAGATTGTATACCCTCAGCTCATGTTTGTGTGGTTAATTATAATTAAAAGTGACTACCTTTCGGCCCCATATTTCCAAGTAAACCACGAGGTCCTCTGTCACCCAATCTGCCGTCGTAGCCAATATCACCGCGATCACCTTGCTCTCCAGGAATTCCTGCCCATCCTGGGCTTCCCATTTGGCCTGGTTCACCTGGTCTTCCTTGATCACCAATTCGACCTCTCACTCCTGGGAAGCCGATGCTACCTTTTGCACCTTGTACGCCAACAGATCCTTGACTTCCAATTACTCCCTTGTCACCTTTACGACCATGTGGAGCGGTTCTTCCATCTCTGCCTGGAGCACCCTCACGACCAGGATATCCAATTAAATAGTCACCACGAGGGCCCTTATTACCGGGCAATCCTTGCAAACCCCATGCGCCTTCGTCTCCCTTTGATCCTTTCACTCCCTTGATGCCGGGCCTACCAGAAGGTCCTGAGAAACCCGGGAATCCAATATCACCTCTTTCACCCTTTACTCCAGGATATCCATCTGGGCCGATTTCTCCGGGTAATACATTACGTCCAGGCTCGCCTCGATAGCCTTTAAGTCCTACCATGCCATCGAGTCCAGGTAATCCATCCATACCAGGATTTCCAGGAGCTCCATGTAATCCGTAATCTCCTGTCAAACCGGGCCACCCTTTAGCTCCTTCTACACCTGGAATGATTGGCCCAGGCAGACCAATATCACCTGCTGGTCCTGGTATACCTTGATCGCCCATTTCACCTTGAGGTCCCTGGAAACCACGTGGCCCCAGTTCTCCCTTGTCTCCGGCTGCACCTTTATTATCATAAATTTGACCAGGATTGGGTTCACCTTTGTCACCCTTTGGCCCCTGACTGCCTGGTTCTCCTCGTCCTCCTCTGAAATTAATAAAAGCGAAATTCTATGATTTCGATTGCAGAAAAAAATAAACTTTTTTGATAGCTTACTTGAGACCATCCCTTCCAGAATCACCAATCAAATAAAACTTTGGTGTTGAGGCATCTTCGCCTGGTTTACCATCATAACCAGGGGCACCTGGGGAACCATCTCTTCCTGGGCGTCCCATCTCGCCATAGTCTCCTCGTAGTCCAGTTTCACCTTTTGCTCCACGTAGACCTGGTCTGCCATTGTATCCGCGGTCTCCGGGGGTACCTTGTTCACCTCGTTGGCCGTCATCGCCTCTATCACCAGCTTCTGGTTCAGCAAGGTTATTGATTTGGATAGTGGTACCGTGTATGCCAGGTGCTCCAGGCTGACCTCTACCTCCGCTGGCTCCAGGAGGTCCAGGTATTCCTCTTCGACCCATTGGACCTGGATTACCTGGCCATCCCTTAGGACCTCTTTCACCCGTCAAACCAACAGGACCTCGTATACCGTGCAAACCATTGTATCCAGCATCGCCCATGGCACCCTTTATCCCACGAGGCCCAGCCGGACATACTCCACAATCATCACCACGTATACCTTTATCACCAATCAAACCAGGCCATCCTGGCAAACCATCAACACCTGGTGGTCCACGTTTACCTGGTGGGCCATCAGCTCCAGGAGGTCCCACAATATTTAAACCATCACCAGGTTGACCCTTGTCGCCGGTCAATCCAACTTCACCACGATCACCACGTAAGCCATTTTGAGCATTCAAGCCTGCACGTCCAGATAATCCTTTAGGTCCTCTTAAATTCAAACCTGGTTGTCCTCTTTGCCCAGGACGTCCTGTAAGTCCAGGACTACCAGGAGGTCCCATCGGTCCTGGTTGACCAATATCACCATAATCACCATCATCACCTTTAACACTTATTCCCCGCCGACCTGGTGCGCCATCCAGACCCCTATCACCCGGGGGACCAGGTGGACCCATTATTCCACGACGACCTGCCTGACCAGGTATACCAGATAAGCCAGGATTACCGGGTGGTCCAATATCACCTTGTGGACCCTGTGGGCCAGGGAATGTTTTATCCAAATTTGGGTCGTAAATTCCAGGTGGACCAGTTGGGCCTTGTTCGCCAGGAAAGCCATCAAATCCATCATCACCGCGATCTCCTCTTACACCATCTTCACCGTCTCTGCCATTGTATCCAGGTGCACCTTTAGCACCTTTTTCTCCAGGAAAACCAGCCTCACCAGACTTACCGGGCTTTCCGCGTTCACCCGCTTCGCCGATGTCACCACGAGGGCCAGGTAAACCAGTCGCTCCTCCATCACCCGTTTCACCACCACCACCAGAAGATCCTTTAAATCCAGTAAACCCTTGATCGCCCTTGTATCCTTTAGTGGCTTTGGAAAAAGTCAATGGCAAGTCTTGACCATCACCGGGTTCGCCCTTTTCACCAGTTTGACCATAAGCAAACAATTGCAGATTAGCTGGTTCAGCCATATCACCTTTGTAGCCTTTCAATCCCATTTCACCTTTCAAGCCTTCTATTCCGGGATAACCAATATCGCCTTTATAACCCTTCATTCCGGTATAACCAGGTAGACCATCGATACCATCGGGTCCGCGTTCACCACGATTGCCCTTTGTGCCTTTCGAATTGATACCACCTTCTCCGGCATCACCGGTGGGGCCAGCAGGCCCAGGCTTTCCAATTTGACCACGATTACCATTTAGTCCCGGTAAACCTGGGGCACCTTGCTGACCAGGCTTGCCATCGCAACCATCAATGCCACTTATACCTTTAGGACCATCTTCACCCGGTGGACCCTGTAGGGGAGAAATGTACGTTCGTAATTCTTATTATATTATGTTATTGAGTTCAAAAAGAATTTAATCCTTTGAAACACTTACCGTTTGTCCAGGCCGACCAGGTAAGCCTAATTCTCCCATATCACCCTAAAAGAAAATTTTGTTGATGAAAACAAAAAAAATATTTAATTTAGGCTTTGCTGCTTACTCGGTGTCCTTTTTCGCCTTGTTCGCCATACTCGCCGGGATCGCCATATTCACCTCGACGGCCCAGCGGTCCGATTGGGCCAATATCTCCGGGAGGGCCTTCTATACCAGGATAACCTTTAAGACCAATAGCACCTAGGCGACCTTTTAAGCCTTTGCAATCACAAACTGTGTTGTTGCAATTTTTGTTCGACTCCTGAAAAGATATGAAAAATTTTGTATTATGAAAACTCTGACAAGTTTAAAAAAAAAACTGGATCGCTCCTTCATCCCAAAATGTGCAAATCAGCGTGTCTCTCTTAATGATCACTTCGCTATATTCATTTTATTTACGTTGATTGGGCTTATAGTTGCGCCTGAAAGGAAGCCACAGTCAACTCTCTACGGATGAATAGGGGGATAGGTCTAGGTAAAGGACACGAGAATGTCTTACAGCCAGATAGGTTTTGCTGCAGATGTTATGCGCCATAGGCTAATTAAAAAATGGCAGACTTTCCTTTCATAGTGACGAGTTATTTTTTCCAAATAGCTGGCGGTTGAGAGTGCCATCTGCAGCCTTCTCTTGGAGTCTCGGATGATCGAAGAAACTCCTAGCACTCACCAATTCAAATATACCACTTCTGATTGGGACTCTATCCGATTAGTGCAGCTAGCTTGAAAATCTGGCTTTCAAGGAACAGCATGAAAAATTTTAGCTGTTGATTAGAATGCTCCTAGTTCGCAATTTCACACTATTTAGTTCAATGATAGGGACTGGTACTTTGTAAAAGGCGTTACGCCACGGTATATAACAATTACCAGATTATACACCAGCTTCATACTAGTTAAATATCAGTTCATTTATACATGTCAAATTTCTAGATGTCAGAAATTAAATTAAGAATTTATTAGCGGGAAGTCTCATGCCTTACTCGGCTATCGCACTCACACATGTGTGTATACTACAGAAACGAGCAGCTGCCCACAATAGCAGAAAATCAAATTCACCAGTGTGTTTGTGGTGGAAATGATTATTATTCCTGTTACTATCGATTTGCCCACAGATAGCAAACTGGTATGAATTTATCTTTAATATACCAGTATTGAAGTAGAATTTTCACATACCAGTTTAGCCATTCACTAAATGTACGTAAGTAAGCATGCACACACACACACATACGTATACATACTACTAAGCAATGGAAAATCGCGTGGAGTAAAAGGAATCGAAAAGTCACGATTTAATTGCACAATTTCCGCTGCAATGAGATAATTTTGCTGACTGTAATGTGTTATTTTATGTGTACATGTATGTGAACAAGCATACGTACTCGTAAGCAGTAAGTGGATTTATATATATATAAGTAAAGTCTCATGCAAAAGCAGATACGCCTTACCGCTGCCATACATTGCATATACGATATTGGACACTTTTTTGGTTTTACTGTTGTTCGACCATTTATTTGTAAATATACATTATATACATATATAATATACATTATATACATATATAATATACATTATATACATATATAATATAAGACATTTACAAAAAGAAGTGGTAACATTGACAGCCACATTTGAGAATACTTGCATTTTAGTGGCGCGCCTAATACTTTTGGCCAAGGCTGTATGTATATATTTATTTTTAAAAATTTTTTACATAAACAAGTTTAAATCCTCGTTTGTATGAAAAATTTTATTATTATTGTAATTCATTCCGTTTTTTTTTGTTGTAAAAAAAGAGCTTTTAATAAAGAAAATAAAAATGTCCCTCAAACATTGTCTGTCGGAAGCAACTAATTTTTCCCATCTCTCTGCTAATTTTCCAGTACCATCTCTAAAAATAAGTCTTCTCTGTTCTTGGTCCAATCATTGAGTAATTCTTCGATTTCTTTAAAAGACCCCACCTGTGACCCTTCGATTCTCGAAAATACGCCGGGTGTGGTAAGACCACCCGTTTCAGTGTTCCCTGGTAGTATTTGAGCGCTACAGCCACAACGGACCCAGCGTTGTCACGTTGTAAAATCATCTTGTCAAGCGTTTCGCTCACGTTTGGCCGTTTTCCATGCAATTCACGGCTTAATAGCAGAAACAGACGCTGATACACGGTAATTATAAAGATTTGACAGATGTGAAAATTTTCAAATAAAATGCATATAGTATAGGTAATCGCCTCCAAGATGGACCGTAATTTGTACTCTCAATAGTAGATTTTTTTTTAGTTACAATTAGATCTATCATATAATATTTCAGCTGTACTGTGATTCACTATTATATTTTAATCATTTAGCGAAAATTTTGATTATTTGACTATTCGCTGTAAAAATATTAACGATCTTCGCTATCGCTTGATCAGTGAGTTGAGAACTAAACGATGAATATTTTGATTGAATTTTAGGTTTTTTCTAGCTAGATCTGGCTGTTATTTTCGCTGTTTAGCTAGAAAAATTTAAATATAACTTAGGTTTTTATTTTACCTTTTTGTAGAAAAATTTTTGGCTGTGTTTAGCTTGGTTTAGATAAGAGCAAATTAAAATTGTTTTCCGAATTAATCCAATTTATATGATTAATCAAAGAGAAAGATGTAACACTAGTAAGTTTATGTATCTAATACATTGTTTAATAAATGGTTTGCTTAATATATGGAAAATAGATGGCTTTTTGCTAATATCAATGCACGAAGAATTTGTTTTTTGGAACTGATCTATCTTAAGGAATCATATTCATGTTCTTTCTATATGCTTAAAATTTGAACCATAGAAAACTCTTTGTTTATTTAGATATCTGTATGGCTTTTATTTCTCTTTTTTGTGTTTTAACTTAATATTTATTAGTTATAATAAAATAAATAATTAATAAATGTAGGCTAGAACAAGTGTACAACTTTGTTGATTTGGGTGTTATGATGGACCCTAAGTTCAATTTCCATCTTTATATCAATACCACCGTCTTAAAAGCCAAAAGATGCTTTTGCCTTTGTCAAAAGATGGCCAATAAAAGTAAAACGTAAGTTATACGACTTTGGTTAGGCCAATAATAGAATATGGTCCACTGATATGGAACACCAATCATCAGGCTCATTCCGATAAGTTGGAGTCGGCTCAAAAACAATTTTTACTTTTTGGAACTCTACGATAAATCTTCCTACCTATACCAACCGTTAAAAGCTTCTAAATCTACCTACTCTCGTAAGTCGTAGAGACTTTTTAGGCGCATTGTTCGTAGTGAAAGTTCTTAACGCCTCAATTTGAAGCTCATGGCTCTTATCTGAGGTAAACTTTAATGTTCCAACGCGTATATCTAGGTAGTTTAAACCTTTACTATTAAGGGATTACATTGTTCTTGAAGGCAAAATAAAGCGTATTTTTTCAACCCTTTTTAAAAGATACTAAATAAAATATACAATTTATTTTGTTTACATATAAAAGTACAATATGTGGACAACATTTGATGAAAACTTGAATGAAAAATAGTTAAAATGTTAAGGCGTTGGCAGTGTCGTACAGTAGACCGTCTAAAAGTCTCGCGGTAGTCATGATAACTATTTCAATTTTTATCTGAAATCAAAAATCCAATTTTTTTCTCAAAGTAGGTGAATTTTTTATGTCCCTGAATGAAGAAAAATTTAAAAAATTAAAAAATGATTTTTGTAGCATTTTTTTTTACAAAAAACGTCATTTTTACAGAAAATTAGGCCACATATGGGCTTGTTAAATGAGTGGAAATCAAAGATAAAATAAATCCTCCGTTCAGGGACTACAAAAACATGCTTAAAAGAAGTGTGGAAATTTTGAACTCGATCGCTTCAATAGTTGTTGAAAAATTTGAACTGCCGATTTCGATAAAGCGGCTTTAAGAAAAAAGCGTCTAAAGTTTCGCCACCGGTCAAGCCATGTCAAAGACGGCGGGTTATGAAACTCTCTAATTTTTAGAGTTTCGTCTCGATCGACTTGAAACTTGGGTAAAATATCCCTGACACTTTGTACTTTTATATTATACAAAATTTTATCAAAAAAAATGATTTTTTTTAAGTTTCAAGACTTATATAATGCCTTAAAGTCATGTAAAACAAATTAGAAATTGAATGAACCCCCTCACCGATTGTGTCATATATAATTTTCATACCAGCACCTTCGATTTCTCAAACTCACTTTTTAGCATTAAAAATAAATTCTTGCTTCTCTCAGCAATTAAAATTTAAAATTCCATAATTACTAAATTTCAGCTCTTGAATAATTATTTTTTCTGCAGCTGAATAGTTGTGAATCTCGACGCTTAACAAATACTTCCCAATCATGACACCTCTCGTGTCGTGTTGGGCGGGCGAAGGGTATTCGTTGGGTTTATTATTATTACTATTATTATTATTATTATTATTATTATTATTATTATTATTATTATTATTATTATTATTATTATTATTATTATTATTATTATTATTATTATTAAATAATATTAAATTTGTATAAAAATTTAATTGGAACCATATATAAGTACGCTTAAAATAAAGATCCCGTACATGCCTCGTTAATATAGAGAAAATCGATTTTTAAGCTTCAAAGGACCGTGGAGGCTCACTTCTAATGTATTATATTACAAAAAATTCTATAAAAAGAGAATGCTTGAACCGATTTTAATGATTGAGCCAGTTTTGATAAGGTAATTTATTATAGAGTTAAAAAAATTAAAATTTACAAAAAATAGGAAAACATTTCTCGTGTGTACCAACCACTGTCGTACTGTGTAATATGTACTTCTTCAAACGGCAATTAATTATTTGTATCACAAACACTGTTGTCACTGTTGTTCATTTAAAAAAATTTAGTATTAAGGGGCCCACATAGTGTGAATTTCGGTAGATTACACCTTTAAAAATAACTTCAAATCGATATCTCAAATAGGTTTTGAGTTATGGCAATTTAAAGAGTAGTCGCTCGGCAGCTAGAGAGTCTCCGAGTGAAAACGATCATTTTAAACGCGTTTTTCCCGAAACAGCATTTTACGAATTTGCTACAGTGATTACTCAAAAACAAATGATTCGATCACTTTTGAATTTTTTTACATGTTCTATATATAGTTCTCCGTACAATGGCTTATCGATTTTTGATCTGATCATAAAATCGAATTTTGGCAGGCCCAAAACGAACAAAATTTTCCGTAAAATTCGACTAATTTTATTAAAACGCCGCCAAATTGTCAATTTTTGATTTTTTT